GTGCGAGCTCTGTAAGCCCGGCACCACTTCTGGCGCCGGCAGCGTATCGTGCGACGAGTGTACTGCAGGCACGTACGCCGCCAACCCTGGCCAGGGGGAATGCACCCTCTGCCCCTATCCCTTGAGTAGTGGGCGCGGCGACGTCACCTGCTCGATCTGCAAAGAGGGCTACTACCTGGTCGAGAGCGCTGCCGACATCTTCAAAAACCCGACCAAGTACTGCAAGGATTGCCCGCCGAACGCCGAGTGCTCGCGCAACACGACGGTGGCGACGATGGGCGTCTCGAGGGACTTTTGGCGCGGCTCGAGCCGCACGACGGAGCTCTACCGCTGCTACGACTCCGACGCGTGCAGGGGCTCGACGAAAGGCAGCGCGAGCTCCAGGCGCCGGCTCGAGGTGGAGGGCGATGACGAGGGTGCCGCCTCGGACCTCTGCGATTACCGCCACGAGGGGCCCCGGTGCAAGGTGTGCTCCTGCAGGCGGGGTGGGGAGCGCTCCGGCTCTTGCGAAGGCCTCGCGGTCGCACAGTACTTTAGCGTCGCCAGCAGGGAGTGCGTCGACTGCCCTCCGCCATGGCGCCCCGCCTCGCTCGCCGCCGCGGCTGTGATCGCGTCGGGGCTGCTTTGTGCGGCGATCGCCCTCCTCCGGAGCAGCTGGGAGCCTCGGCACAAGGCGGCGAGGAGGGTCTTGCGAGCCGGCCGCTCTCTCGCCGCGCTTCTCAAGCGCGCGGGCACGGGGTCGAAGCTAAAGATCTTCGTCGCTCTCTACCAGTGCCTGGCCGCCATCCCCTCCGTCTACGCGCTCAGCGTCCCGGAGACGCTCGTCGGCAGCTTCATGGAAAACGTGATGTCCGCCCTGACCGCCGCGGCGCGGGTGATGGACCTGGCGGTGCCGTCCGCCTGCTACGGCTCAAAGCTGGACCAGCTCATCGGGGCGGCGGTCGCTCCGTGGGGCGTCATCGGTCTCGCCGCAGTGGCGTGGACCATCCGCAACGCCGCCGTCGCCCACGCAAAGGGGCAGCTCCGCGGAACCGGCGCCTCCGTCTTTCTCGTCTCTGCGCTTCGCAGAGTGCTCCCGCTGGTTCTCTACGCCACCTTCCTCCTTCTGCCCGCCGTCTCGGCGCTCATCTTCTCCTCGTTTCTGTGCGACGCATTCGTCTACGACGACGCCACGGGCGAGACGCGGTCCTTCCTGCAGGCGGACTACTCGCTGGAGTGCAGCACGCCGGCGCACCAGCGGCTCAAGAACTGGGCGTTCGGACTCTCCCCGCTTTGGCCCGTCGGCGTGCCGGTGCTCTACCTGGTCTTGCTTCTCGCTCACCAGCGCGCGATCCGCGCCGGCCGGACGACAAAGTGGGTCGCTTCGACGCGCTTCCTCTGGGCCGACTACAGGCCCGAGGCGTACTTGTGGGAGGTGCTAGAGGTGCTGCGCAAGCTGACGCTCACGTGCTTCGTGCTGCTCATCGACGAGAGGCTGGAGGAGGCGCGCGCGCTCGTCGCGCTGCTCGTCTCGATCCTCTTCCTCTCGCTGCAGATGGCGACGCAGCCCTTCCGCCGCAGCGAGGACAACTGGCTCGCGACGATGGCGTACCTTTCGCTCGTCGTCGTCTACCTCACCGTGCTGCTGCTCAAGATGTGCGAGCAGGACGCGGAGGTGTGCGAGGACAGCTTTGGCCTCTCCCCTGCGGAGCTCTTCTCCACCTTTGCCTTCTTCGGGATGGGGCTCCTCCTCCTCCACCTCCTCCTCGCCGCGCTGCAGCTCTACCTGCACGACCACTCCCCACGCATCATCCGGCTGGCCCGCGCCCACTCCATCTCGCCGCAGACCCTTGTCTGGCGCGTTCTCGCGCGCAAGGCGGCCTCGCTCTGCGCCTTCGCGCGACGCGCCGGCGCCGCCGTCCTGCCGCGCCGCAACCTCGTCCAGCTCGCGACGAGGTGGCCCTTTGCGCTGTGGCATCGCCGCCGCGGCATGCCGCCCGAGACGCCCACAAACCTCCACCCGCTCGTTGCCGGCCTCGCGGGGCGAGTCGTGATCGACGACCTCTACGAGCCGTCCGTGCCGAGCTTCGTCGTCCTCGACGCGCCCTCCCTTGCGCTCGGCTGGTCCTGGTCGTCGAGGGACCGCGTCTTCGTCCCGCTCGTGACGGAGGTTGCCGTCGAGGCGCGCGGCGGCGGGCTGGGCACTGTGCGCGTGCGGCATCGCAATCTCCAGGGCGAGCTGCGCGTGCTGCGCGTCACGAGCTCGGACGAGGAGGCGGCGGCGTGGGCGGCGGCGCTGCAGGCCCTGATGGCGGAGGTGGCTTTGCGCTCGCCCGGAGCGGCGTCACACCTTTGGCTGCTCTCGCGCATGGCCGCGTCCGTCTCCATCGGCGGCAACGCGGCGGGCGTGCTGCCCCTGCACAGCCTGCCTGCGGCCGCCAACCGCTCGAACTGCTCCCTCGCCGCAGTCGTCAAGAGCGCGCGCGACTCTGTCGGCGCCGATGCCAATGCTCGGCAGCTGGAGGCAAGGGCGGTGCGGTTGGCCCAGGCGACGCCGCTGCCGGAGTGGCTCACGCCCGCTGGCGGCTCGCTGAACATGCTGCAGGTGGCGGAGGTCCTGCTGTCCGGCTACACTGCCCAGGACGAGATTCGCCAGCTCTTCAACGACTACGCCAACGCCGACGGCGAGATGGACCTCCGAGGGTGGCTCGCCTTCCAAGCCGCAGTGCAGGAGGAACCCGACGTGCCGGCAGCGCGCGCGGCCTACGCCCGCGCGTGCGGCGACGCTGGCAGCTCCCGGCTGTCGTACATGCGGTTCGCGATGCTCCTCCTCTCGCCGGAGAACCGTGCGGTGCCGCCAAACGCGTACACCGCGGACCTCTCGCAGCCGCTGTCGCACTACTGGGTCGCGACCAGCCACAACTCGTACATTGTCGGCGACCAGCTCACCGGACGGTCGACGCGGGAGGCGTACATGCGCCAGCTGCTTCAGGGCTGCCGCCACGTCGAGATCGACTGCTGGGATCAGTTCCAGCTCCGCTCCTGCAAGACGGTGCCAGTCGTGACGCACGGGCACACCCTCTGCACGGTGGAGTCCTTTGACGCCGTCGCGTCTGCCATCGCCCGCACCGCTTTCGTGACCTCCGATCTGCCCGTCATCCTCTCGCTCGAGATGCACTGCAAGCCGGAGCGGCAGCACGCGATCGCCTTGGCGCTCCTCTCGAACCTGGGAGAGCGTCTGCTGTCGTGCGACGACATCGAGGGCTCCAGCCTCTCTCCAGAGGCGCTCCGTGGTGCGCCGCCCCCTCCCCGACACTTAACCCGACACACACCCAGGCGCCCTGTGACTCGAATCAGGGGTTTCACAACCCCACCTTGAATGACCGCTCGTCGATGCACCGCCGCGCAGGCAAGGTGCTCTGCAAGGGCAAGGTCAAGGCGGTGCTGGCTGCGGTGCGCAAGGCGCGATCATCGGCCGATGTGGCGGAGACCGGTGAGGCAGGGCGGACAGTGTCTGAGCGGGAGGGGGCAAGTGTCGCCAGCTCCGAGACGCTGTACGTCCGCCACCTGACGCTGCGGACTGTGCCCGCCGACGACTTCCTCGCCGAGCTGTCGCACGAGTACGGCTTTGCGCTGCCGATCACCTCGATCGGCGAGGAGAGACTGGGGCAGGAGATGGGCCTCGCCGCCCCGCGGGCGGAGGCGCTGGACGAGGGCAGCGTGTTGCGCGGGATGGCGGGGAGTGTGCACGCGCTGCAGCGCAAGACCGCCGAGCAGCTGCTGCGCGTCTACCCGCTCGGCCTTCGCTTCGCCGGGAAGAATTTGGACCCCCTCGTGTGCTGGCGCGCCGGCGCGCAGCACGTGGCGCTCAACCTCGGCCAGCACCCCGACCTGGCGGCGCAGCTGCACTACGCCCTCTTCGAGGACACGGGCGGCTATGTGCGGAAGCCCGAGGAGATGGTTGACGGGCGGGGCTGGCCGCCGCGGCGCGAGTCGCTGCGGCGAGTGACGATCGAGCTGCTCAGCCTGCACGGGCTTCCCAAGCAGGGCGAGGAGAGGCCGAGCCGCGACGGGGCGCACGGCGCGTCGCATGGCTACGTGCCCGAGCTGACTGGCAGCTGGAGGGCGCCGGCCGCGGTCGAGTCGTCGTCGACGCTGCGCCTCAAGGTGTCCCTGCACGCGATCGGAGGCTTCTGCTCGGTGAGCACGCGGCGGCAGCCTCGCCAGGTCGAGACGGAGCACGTCACCTCCTCCGCCGGCGAGCACGGCGGGCTCAGCCCGCGCTTTGGCGAGACGGTGCATCTGCTGGCGGCGGAGCCGCACGAGACCATCCTGCGGGTCGCAGTGCTGGAGAGTGACGAGGAGAATGCATCAGTGGACGCCGAGGAGGTGGCGTTCGATACGGTGGTGCTCGGGCGCATGAGGCCGGGCTACCGCACGCTGCATCTGCGCTCGCGGCGGGGCACGCGCATCGAGATGTGCCACCTCTTTGTGCACATCTCGCACGGGAACGAGCCCCACAAGTGGCCGTCGGCCAGCGAGCTGAGGGAGGAGGTGGAAACTAGGCGCAGCGAAGCTGCGGACCTGCGCAAGGAGATCTCGCAGCTGCGGAGGGGGGGCGTGTGGCGCCAGGGGAGCTTCGACGTGGGGATCTAGGAGGAGGGCCGCCTCTTGATCGAGCCGGGTAGGGGGTGTTTGGTGTGATGCGTTTTGCAAAACCAAAAGCGACAAGAGTCCTAAAACGGCAAAAGCTGAAGCCTGAACTCATCTCAAGTAAAGTAGTGTCCGTACTCTAGTAGAGTAAAAACTAGAGCGTGGTCGGGGTGTGCAGCCACACACACGAGGAGAGTCGAGAGATCCCTCACACCAAGATCGTGCAGGCCGGGGACACATGTCCCTCAATCCCAATCTCGTTTCAGAGTTTGACATTTTTATTTATTTACACTGACTTTTGACGAGGAGAGACGAGAGACGCTGTGCTCGACCGAGCTGGGAGACCCAGCTGGCTCCGCCCTGCGTGGTCACAGTCGACTCGCCGGCCGGACTGCCTCGCGTAGCCCGTCGAGCAGGCAGCGCAAATCGTCCGGCGTGTTGTACAGGTGCGGCGAGACGCGAATCACACCGAGCCGCTCCGACACGAGCACCGGCCGAGGCTTGAGCGCGGCGAGCCGTCGGACGAGCTCCGCAGCCGGCGGCATGCCGGCGCCCGTCCGGAGGCCGACGATGCCCGGCGCGTGGCGCGGCGGCACCTCGAAGCCAAGCGCCGCCGCCTGCGCCGAGGCGAGCCTCGTCACCCGCGCCGAGCCCTCGGCCACGTCTCGGCGAGCTCTCGGCGAGCTCTCCTCCCGGCCACCTCTTCTCGGCCCGCATCTCCTCGGCCGCCTCTCGGCCGCCTCTCGGCCGCCTCTCTCGGCCGCCTCTCGGCCGCATCTCTCGCCTGCGCTGCGACGAGGCTGGTCATCTCGCCGAGCCGCGCAGCGATCCGCCTCGTGGTCAGCTGCTGCGCGACGAGGCGCAGCGCCGCGACCAGCATGGGCATCACGATGTACGAAGGCCGGCCGCCGCCCTCGAGCCTCCTGGCGCCTGAGGAGTGGAGAATGCAGTCGCTGCCGGTTCGGGCTCCCGGCCGCCGCCCTCGAGCCTCCTGGCGCCGGGCTGGAAGGCGGTCGGGTAGCCGCGCGGGCCCATCGGAAGGCACTCCACATGCTGCGCGCCCTCTCTGTTCCGGTCGTGGTGGTCGAGCGGCCGCGCGCCCCGCCTTGAGGAGAAGAGAGTGCGACATGAAGCAAGAGGCGGGAGCAGGCCGCGCCTCCGGCCAAAGCCCGCCAGAACGAGGGCTCCGCGTAGCAGAGGCACGCCCCGTACGGGCCGAGCAGCCACTTGTGCACGCTGCACGCGACAAAGCAGGCGCCGATCCTCGCCGGCTCGAGGGGCGCCGCCGCGCCGAGCCACTGCGTCGCGTCGACGACGAGCGGCACGCCGCGCGCGCTGCACGCCGCCCCGACCACCGCCAGGTCGACCACCGCGCCGTCGCACCAATGGCATGGCGGCAGCGCGGCCACGGCGACCGAACCGCTGTCGACTTGCGCGACGAGCGCACTCGCCCAGTCGCCGTCGGCGGGGCGAGGGAGCGCGAGGAGCTCGCCGCCCTCGTCGTCGCACAGCGCCTGCCACTGCATCACGTTGGACGGGTTCTGGTCCTCGAGCACCAGCACCCGCCTCCGGCCCGCCGGCCTCGCCCGCATCGCGCCGCGCAAGTTGTGCGCCGCGACGCTCATCGCAAAGGAGCAGCTCGGGAGGACCGCCACGTCGCGGCTGGAGACGCCGCCGCCGAGCAGCTCGCCGAACAGTGTCCGCACCTCCTCCTTCTGAGCCTCGGTGTCGCCGATGTCCCACGGCGTCGCCGCCTTCCTGCGCACCGCCGCCTCTCCCGCCGCGAGGACGCAGGCGGGGAGCGGAGTGCGCGAGGCGGCGTTGATATACGCGCACGTGCGGTCGAGCTCAGGCCAGAGTGAGGCGGCGTCGATCGGGGCGGCGTCGACCAAGGCTGCGGACATATACACAACACAAAGCGCCTGTGAAAAAAGAAAAAAGTTCGACCGTAAAATACCACCCTCCCCCAGGCCTAGCTTGGGATGTCTCCTTTCCAAAAGGAAGGCGAGCACGGCCACGTTTCCAGGTACACATGCGCAGAGCCGCCTAAGCGACTCCTGCGAGCAGGGTTAGCGAAGCACTATTCCAAACAACAACTCTATTCCATGCACTCTCCTAGGCACTCTCGGTCTCGCGACCGAGCAAGAGTGGTTCGCCGCCAGCACTACTGAGCTGTCTGGGCGTCTGTGTCTCACCGCAACATCCAACACGTCACTCCGCGTCAGGCTCCACAACACCACGCCTGCACCACGCGACGCGCACCTCGAGGTGTGCGATTCCTACATCTTCCTCCATTTATAGAGATAAACGTACGAACGCACATGTGTAACCGCCGGAGCTGCCTTGTCCGTTGAGACACTTCATACCGAAGCGAGGCGACACGGGTGTGCACAACCGACAACCCACAACGCACAAGCCGCCTCTGTCAACCGAGACCCTTCAAGCGGCGCCGCCGCCGTAGGTGCCTTCCATGGCGCGCTGCTTGATATCAGACAGGAATGCGCACAGCTCGTCAATGTGGCGACGAACACTTGGGTTGCTGCCGGCGTTCCAGTTTCGGCGCAGTGGCCCGCCATCTCGCATGCACAGAAGGGCATACTCGATCGAGAGCTCGCCGGCTCGTATCTTGCTGAGTTGCGACTGCTGGTTCTGGTGAATGGATTTGGTCTTGGTGACGAAGATCTGCCTGCTCAGAACGCGTCCGCCCGGGATCGGGTCCCCTGGGCGGCCTGTGAGGCGCACCCCGCACGAAAACTCTGAGCCGCTCGCCGCTCGTGCTTGCTTGTTGGAAACGGGCGCTGCCGTGCATTCGGCCGCACCAGCTCGCGGGCGTTTGCGCTCCGGAGAGGCGCTCGCAGCATCGCCACCCTGAGCGCTGTGGCTGGCGCCGCGCTGCAGTAGCCCGATCTTCTGAGCGACTTGGATCGCCACGTGCTCGCGCAACGCGTCGACGTGGCGATCGACGTCTGCAGCTGGAAACCCGCCGAAGTTCTTCCACTTCGTGGCGAGCGTTAGGCGCCCAGGCCCGTTGTCAGGCCCGTGATGGTTGGGCATCCCGTCGGTCAGACGAGAGAGGCACTGCGATGCGGTGTACTCACCGGCTGCTATGCGCCGGTCAATTTCCCTGCAGTTCCATGTAACCCCGTTGCGGAAGTGTACCCCGAGCTTGTGGGTACCGGCGGGCCACATGTCTGTACGCGCCGCAGCGAGCACTTGCTCGTTGCGCTGCCAGCATGTGGTGACGCTCATATCTTGCGGTTGTTTCCCAGCTGTTTTGCCGTCAGCCAGGTTCGCTCCCTTCACATGGAGAGAGGAGAGTTGATCTATTGAGGGCCTCATGTAAGAATCGCCGCACGCAGAGGCCGGAACCCGGAAGGGCCTCGGGCGTGGCGGCACACAAAACAAGCAAACAGGACACAGGTGGCGCATGGGGTGGATGGTGGGATGCGCCAGAAAGCAGGAGAGAACCCGGCAGGCACACGAGGGAGCGCAGGTCCGTCTGAATGGGACCACGACTGGAGTACTAGTCTCCGCCGGAATTCCCCCAGCTCTTTTTCATCTTGGCACGCGCCCCCCGGGTGACTTGGGAAGTTCGCTCAGGATGTGTGTGGCAGCCCCGTTGCCTGAATATATTGTCTTGTGGTCTGTGTGTCGCTCCTGTGTGACCGTCACCGCCCGTCCCGCGTCCACCCATACCGCGTTGCAGAGTAGAGTTGTTGTTTGCCGCGGTGGTGTCCCAGTCGTTGGTCGGACTGTGTTTCGCGTTTATCCATCAAAGTCCGAGAAAGGGTTCGGGTTTGAATAACACTGCGGCGCGCGCACACGCCTCTCATGTACGAACAAGCCCTAAGGTGGGCGAGCCGAGTGAGACTGATGAGAGGACGGCGCGCGACGCCTGCGGCGGCCTGCGCGCGAAGCTGTAACTACGGACTCGGACAGGGATCAGTCGAACCATGCGCTAGACCTAGAGATTTGTGCCTCGCAAAGAGATGGAGACACACACAAAAAGCCCACCCGGATCGTCGGATCGTGCTGAATCACACGGTCACACCGCCACCACCGCCGACGTCTCCCAGTGAGTGAGATGATGGAGAGGGGGGACGACACCGCTTCACGGCGGCGCGTGCACCTCGATCCGATACCGTGTATGTTATGACACCCCCGAATGAACACACCACAGTGAGGGAGGGCGAATCGAACGAACGATCGAGGGGGCCCGTATGCATGCGGACGGAATCGTTCGTTCGATCGACCCTACTAACTAGTATCCAGCCAGTCAGTCAGTAAGGGCTCAAGACAACTACTCACCCCGCCGCGTCCTCCCGAGAGTGGAGAAAAACACCCTTTCTATCCGTCTTTTTGGTCGCATTAGACCGAATGTGTGGACACAGCGGACAGCGCCGGCTTTTGTGGCGTGCACTGCGACCAAGCGACCAAAGTACAACAAATTGGGGCGGCGATCAGCCCGAGAGCCATGATCAACCCCGCCGGGGTAGTTGTGACCATGGGCAGCACTGCTGGCCGTCGCAGCACTGTGCAGAGGATGCTGATGACTGCCGTCCTCGGTGCCCCTTAGAGTGCCCGACCCGGCCGCACGCCACAACTGCTGTGATTTTGCCGTAACTACTCACCCTCCCGCCCTCAGGCGCGGCGGTCTTTTTTTCGTGGCGATCAGCAGCCGTGTGGCTCCGGTGAGTCTTGCGGCTGAGGCTGGCACTGAGAAGGAAGAAGAGCCGCCGCCACTGTTTGGTCCCTTTACGGGCGTCATCGAGATGACCCTTGGCACCTTCGGAGCAGCGTGCCAGGGGATTGGAGACTTTCTGGGGTACGGAGGGGCCGGCTTGACCAGTTGCGATGCTATGTTGACGTGCGCTGACAAGTTAGGCGTCACTGGCGGCCCGCCTTGTCCGAACCCTTTGAACGGTGAATGCCGACGGGGCAACTGCGGCTGCTCAGCAGCTTGCCGGCCGTCAGCGGTGCAGGCAGCTGTGGGCTATGGCTCTCGTTCCAGTCTCGTTTGAGAGATGGAAGGAGGCGGCGCGAAAGGATAAGTTCGAAAACGGAGCGGCGCCGCGCGGCCGCGAGGGACCGCGGGGGGATGTTAGCGGGATGGGGGGCTCTAAGGGGAAGGGAGCGGGGGGCACCCAGTAGGGCGCCGGCACCCCAGCGTAGAGGGCGCCGCGGTGTATTGCAATAGCCCTCTTTTTGGTAAATATAAAAACAGAACTCCTGGAGTGTCCCGGAGGTCGGGTCGGCGAGCCTACAGCCTCGGCGCGCGAAGCGGCAAACACTGTGAGACCATGTGTGTGTGTGTGTGTGTGTGTGTGTGTGTGTGTGTGTGTGTGTGTGTAAGGTAAGGTAAGGTAAACGTCTCCACGCACACAAAGTGGTGGGGCAAGGGGGGGCGACCCTCGCATCTCCACGCCCGGGTGCCAGGACACGGGCAGGAGCCCCACGGCATTCAAAGTGCAAGCACCGGCCCGGTGCCGTGGGTGAGCAACCTGCACCCCACTCCCTCCCTCCCACAGACACAACCCGCACACAACCCCCACAGCGTGGACGTCTACGTGTTCAGAAACACCAAGCAGCGAGGCGAGGGTGAAATGACCATGCGGTCGCGGCATGCCGCATCAATCTTGGCTGCCGCGCCCGGCTGTGTGTGTGTGTGTGTGTGTGTGTGTGTGTGTGTGTGTGTGTGTGTGTGTGTGTGTGTGTGTGTGTGTGTGTGTGTGTGTGTGTGTGTGTGTGTGTGTGTGTGTGTGTGTGTGTGTGTGTGTGTGTGTGTGTGTGTGTGTGTGTGTGTGTGTGTGTGTGTGTGTGTGTGTGTGTGTGTGTGTGTGACTGAGACCAAGAGATTGCGTGTGTGCGACGCAAGTTTCAATCCCGCGTTTGTTTGACATAGTTTCGGCACGAGCGGTATCGGTCCCCCCCCCCCCCCCACAAGCCGCAAGCGCCAAGTTCTGGCAGTCCATTTTTTTTCATTTTTCGTTTTCTTAGAGATGAAGCCTCGAAATGGGCACAGTGATATCCAGTTCTTAAAGTGCTCAAGCATGCTATGGACGCTCAGAGGGTAAGCTTCGAGCCCTTTTGTATGACACGCCGTGCGTGCTGCTGCAACCCGTGCATGCCGCACAGCAAGACTGCGGACTGCGAGCGAGGAGAAAAAGTTATCGCGCACCAGTGTCTGTGATCTGTGATCTGTGAGGGTCCGCCCGCAGGCGCATTTTGTATACCGAGGCGGTGCCCGGTGCCGAACCTGTCGGACCTTGAGACAGCATGTAGATCCCTGGGCGAGGGTGATGGCGTCCCCGTCGGGTCAGGGCTGAAGGCGGGGGAGACCAACCCGATCTCTCCGGCGTCCCGGGAGCGTGATTGACACCTCCCCCTGCGCCAACAGCCCCGTGGAGGTAGGCCGCTCGTCTAGCCAATCAGCCTTAAGCGGGGATGCAGCCCTCTCATGTTCGTAGGTTTAGCGCGGGCAGCATTCGGACGTACCTAGAACGGAAGACGGCTGACGGGTGTCAGTCACAACTCAATCTTCATTCTTTTTCCAGTCCGCGCCAGTCCGCGCCCTTGTCGTGCCAGTGTGCTGTGAGAGTGCCTTGTGTTTTAAGAATTCTTTTTCCAACGGCCAAAACGGGCAGCGTCGCGGCCTCGTCCCTCCCGGGCGACTGGCGGGCAGCACGGCGAGGTCTGTCTGGGAGAGTGGCCAAAATGGCGGGCGCCGACGCGGTCAAGCAGCTCAAGATCAAGACGAGTGCCGTCTCGCGTCTCATGAAGGACCGGGTGGCGTCGGACAGGGAAATTGAGGGGCAGAAGGAGCGGATCGGGAAGGTGAGGAGCGACCCGGAGAAGGACGAGCACGACGTGGCGAAGCAGGCGCACAGGCCGCGGCGCGTGGCGCAGCGCCGCACCGCGGCCGATGCCGAGCCCCCGGCGCGCCCGCCCGTCCGTCGCAGGAGGAGGTGCTCGCCGAGATGGTGGCCGGCCGGGCAGACGAGCTGTGCCGGCTCAAGGACTTTGCGCTCGAGCTCGACTCTGTCGTGGCGCGCGGCGGGAGAGCCCCGCCGCGGGGGCGCGCGCCTGAGCCCTGCGACGCCCCGCCCGCCGCCGCAGGAGCTCACAAAGGCGGACCTGGGCTCGAGCGAGGAGCACGCGAACGCCGCGGATGTGTTTGGGCAGGCGGCGGCCATTCTCAAGCGGGAGGGGGTCGAGCTCGACGACTGAGGAGCCGCCGTCCTCCGGTCGGCCAGCACACGCGAAGGACGCCTTCGCCCTCGCGGGCCTTGCTCGACTTTTGCTCGCGCTGGGCGTCGTCTGGCCACTCAGCTTGCGAGGCACACAGCTTACCTTGACATATGTGCACTCAGCGCCCTGCCCGCGCTCTCGAGCCCGCGCTCTCCTGAACCTTCGGAGTTGCTCGAGTACTGCGCGGTGGCAGGAGCAAGGTGAGGCGGCTAACAGCATTCCCCCCCTCACGGTCACGCCATTACAGCATTGATACCGGTCTTTGACTTTTTTTAGGGTTTGGTCCGTCTTAAAAACAGTTTTACAGAAGAAAGAGGGAAATGTTTTCTTGGCCCTCGCCCGTGCCTTGCCTGTCGCGCGAATCGTGCTAAGACTTGGAGCACTTGGAGTGCAGTCATTAACCGCACATCCAGGGGGGGGCGCGCGTTCGCAGGGCAAGGGCCTTAAAGTAAACACGGGTCTCCGAGAGTCCGAATCAAAATTCTTCTTGCGCCCGACGGCCGGCCACCCTTGTGCAGCTGCTTCGTTGTCTCTCGATCGCTCGCGATGAATGACAGCGAGGCGTGGGAGGCTCGGCGGCGGTCCGTCCTCGGCACCGATGGCCCGTCGGCGTCCGAGGGTGCCCGGATGCGCCGGTCGCGGTCCTGGCGCGAGCCCGGCGCCTCCACCGGGTACGTCCCGGCCGTCAACGACAGCGATCACTGGGAGAATACGCGGAGGACCGTGCGAGGAGAGGCGGTGCAGCCACCGGTTGTGCGCGCTCAGACCACGCGCCATTCGCTCGCCGCGCGCGATCTGGACGCGGGCGGCCCGTCCGCGGCTCGCGGCAGGCAGCCGACAACCTTTCTGCAGCAGGACGAGGCGGGGCAGGAGCGGCAAGCACGGGTGGTGCGACGCGGGCGGTTTCGAAAGTTCCGGCTGCTCATCCTCTTCATGTCGCTCCTCGGGATTGGCTTTCTCTTCGCCACTCCGCGCGGCGGGGTGAGCGGATTTGGGCGCCGCTCCAACCAGTACGTGCAGCACATCGTCGAAAAGGGGAAGTCGTGGACGGCGACGCAGCTGGAGTTCGTGCAGCGATGGCAGTACGGGATGCAGCTCTTCGACCTCTACTCCGCCGTGAGGCGCGGCCAGTGGCCCGCCTCGTCGGTCGGCGCGCCGCGCCGCGCCTCCGGCCGGCGCGTGTTTCTGCGCGACGTGCAGAGCGGCCACTATGTGCGCGCGCGAGGGCGTGCGAGGAGGAGGGCTGGAGCTGTCTACGAGCTCTCCGGGAGCCGTTGGCTGTAGGTGCGCGTGGTGACGCACGAGGAGGAGCCCGAGAAGAGGGCGCACAGCCGCAACCTGGGCAAGCTCGGCAGCGTGCACTCTTGCGGCGGGTGCAGTCAGTGTCAGCATGGATCAGTCACTCGTGGTGAATGAAGTGATAGGCAGCGTGCAGCCCGGCGAGCTGATCGCGGACCAGCCGGCCCCCTGCACCGGGGAGGCGGTCTGCCCCTTGCTGCCCATTCCTGAGTAGTTGGCCGTTGCTACGCGCAGGTCCCCTGGCTACACGGCGGTGCGTTCGAGCTGTACGACGCCCGCAAGACGCTCCTCCACCACAGCGTGCGGGAGGGGGGGGCGGAGCCCGAGAAGAAGGAGAAGCACGGCGGTCTCCAGCTCTCGCAGTCACGGCGTTCTTTCTCTCATCGACAAGTGTTTTCTGCTATAGGAGAGGCCAGCATCTCGAGCCGTCGTGCTGACGGCCGTCTCGTCTTCACACCCTTTCGTACTTGCACAGGAGCACCTCTTCTCGAGCTCGCTGTGGCAGTCCGTCTCGAAGCTCGCCAAGAAGGGGCGGCTGCAGGGCGCCGACGACACGCGGTGGGAGTTGCTCAACCGGGCGAGTCAAGGCGGCGGTTTCGTCGCCGTCTCTTGGCGCTCCACCGTAGAGCGCCTCTTCTGCTGGAGCCTTCCCGGAGCCTTCTCGGAACCTTCCCGAAGGCGCTCGACCTTCCTCGACTACCTCTTCTCGTGGAACGCGACCTGGAGCGATTTTGCGCACGGAGCCCGCCCCTTCGGCTCGAGCCGCCCCTCCCGTCCCGTGAGCAACTATCTGGCGACTCGGCTCGCTCTGTCGGCCACAGGCGTCTACGTCGGCGCGCTGTCTGCGCGCACCTTCCGGTCTAGCGACGCGACGGCGCTGCGCGCAGAGATGCTGCCGCCTGGCCCTCCGCCAGACGGGCCGCGCCGCGGGGTCAGCGGCGTCGAGCTCGCGAGAGTGCGGCTGCGCGCGCCCGGCCGGCTTGGCGTCGACGGCGCGGACGACTGGATGGGAGGGGCGCGGTTTATTGTCATCGACCCGGAGACGGGCGCCCCCGCGCACGGCTCGGACTAGGGCTCGAGTGGTCCGCTGTCGGCCAGTTCCACTCGCTGCGTGTAGGCGCCCCTCCGCGTGGCGGACTATTTATATGTATTATGATAAAAGTGATATGATTATGACTCTATGATTAGGCGCCCTCCGCGTGGCGGACTATGCTGGCGAGCCGGAGCCGGGCAGCTTGAGGCCCGCCGAGTTTGCGGTGGAGGCGGTGGAGTCGCTCAAGGGCTCGTCAACTCTCGGGATCGTGGCTGATCCCGGAGCACGACGACGCTTCTTGAGTAGGGATGGATGAGTGGAGTTAGGCGTCAACCTCGGGTCGTGGCTGATCCCGGAGCACGATTACGCGGTCGTGACGAACGAGTCGCTCTGCGAGTACACCGAGCGCGTCGGCGCCGCAAAGAGCAGCCGCGTGATGGAGGAGCTGTGGACAGCGTCTCTTCACGCCTGCAAGCTGTGAACAGGCGCCGCAAAGAGCAGCCGCGTGATGGAGGAGCTGTGGACAGCGTCTCTTCACGCCTGCAAGCTGTGAACAGGCGCCGCAAAGAGCAGCCGCGTGATGGAGGAGCTGTGGACAGCGTCTCTTCACGCCTGCAAGCTGTGAACAGGCGCCGCAAAGAGCAGCCGCGTGATGGAGGAGCACCTGTCGACTTTCGTGACGGAGGCCGACTTCGACTGGATGGCGTCGCACGGCGTCAACACCGTGCGGGTGCCGCTCGGGTGGTGGAACGTGCTGCACGCGTCGGAGCTGCCCGACCCGGGCACGTCCAAGGCGTGGACGTCCTTTGCGCCGTCGCCCGAGGTGTCGATGGCGGCGATCGGCCAGGCGCTCGATTGGGCGGCACATCGGCGCATGTCTGTGCTGCTGGACTTGCACGGCGGGCCGGGCGGGCAGAATGGAAAGGACCACTCCGGCTGCCACGGGGTTGCGGAGTGGCACGAGCACTCAGTCAACAACTCGCTGCTGGTCATCTCGGCCCTGATGGAGCGCTTCGGCGACCACGACGCGCTGTGGGGCGTCGAGCTGCTCAACGAGCCCGGAGAGACGTAGCCGAGATGCGGCAGCGATGCGGCCGAGATGCGGCAGCGATGCAGCCGCGAGACGCCCGAGAGTCGCAGAGAGCAGCGGCGTGGGCGGCTTCTCCACCGCCCCGCTGCGGACATGCCGCAGCGCACAGCGGCGTGGCGCGGTGTGGGATCGCGAGCACTGATCGCGAGCACTCCTCCTGCAGGACACCTCTCCTATTCACACCTCTCCCATTCACACCTCTCCCATTCACACCTCTCCCATTCACACCACACTTACCCTCTCTCCTATCGCAGGCGACCTCTCCACGGCCCCCCTCGAGGACGAGATGCGGCCGATGCTCCTACAGTACTACGAGGCATCGACCGCCACGATCCGCCGCTACTCACTCCGTGCTGCTCATTCGCCATTGCTCACCGCAGGCGGCGTACGCCATCATCCGCTCCCACCGGCCCGACGTCGCGGTCGTGTTTTGCGTGCTGTACTGGTTCGACTTTTGGGCGTGGGCCGGCCAGCTGCGCGAGCCGCGCTACTACAACGTCGTCACCGACTACCACATGTACACGGCCTTCGACGGCTTCAACGGCGACTCGCCCGACTCGATGGTGGAGGACGCGGCGCGCGCGTTCGGGTGCCGGCTGATGCAGCACGCCTACCACCACCCGGCGGTGGTTGGCGAGTGGGCGCTCGCGGTGGACCGGTGGGGCCAAAAGGTGAAGCAGGGGTACGTGGACGCGCAGCTTACCTCGTACAACTCCTCGCTCGGCTCGTACTTTTGGACGTATGTCATGGACGGGGACGCGGGCGAGAGGAGCCGAGAGACAGCCGAGAGCAGCCGAGAGCAGCCGAGAGCAGCCGAGAGGCAGCCGAGAGACAGCCGAGAGACAGCCGAGAGACAGCCGAGAGACAGCCGAGAGGCAGCCGAGAGCAGCCGAGAGCAGCCGAGAGCAGCCGAGAGACAGCCGAGAGCAGCCGAGAGCAGCCGAGAGGCAGCCGAGAGACAGCCGAGAGACAGCCGAGAGACAGCCGAGAGGCAGCCGAGAGCAGCCGAGAGCAGCCGAGAGGCAGCCGAGAGACAGCCGAGAGACAGCCGAGAGACAGCCGAGAGGCAGCCGAGAGCAGCCGAGAGCAGCCGAGAGGCAGCCGAGAGGAGCCGAGAGGAGCCGAGAGCAGCCGAGAGCAGCCGAGAGCAGCCGAGAGACAGCCGAGAGGAGCCGAGATCAGCCGAGATCGTGGATGGAGGCGCGGGCGTGGCCAATGCAGCGGCCAAGCATGCAGCGGCGTGGCGAACGGCGTCTCTTCACGCCGTCTGGCGTGAGCAGGCATGGCCGAATGGGGCATCACCGGCAAAAAGCCGTCGGGTACAGACAAGTGGGACACGGTTGGGCCGTCGCCGCAGTGGGACTTCACGGTGGCCGTCGAGGAGCGGCCGAACGAGAAAGGCGAGGGAGCCTAGCCGGGACTCGCTGGGACTCGCTGAGGGGTGGGGCGAACGCCCCCCCCCCGCCTCACTTTCTTGTGACCCTTCCGTGACCCTTCCGCGACCCTTCCGTGACCCTTCTGAGATCCTTCCGCGAGCCCTCTTGGAGCCGTCGCATAGGCGAGTTCCACTCGTCCTACGCCTTCCCGAACGTGCGAAAGTGGTACCCCTCCGCCCCTGGCGCTCCATCGCTCGAGCAGCTCCGCGCCGGTGCCGGACTCTTCCGAGACACTTCCGAGACACTTCCTGCTCCACGGCTGGAAGCGCTCTCCACACCCGTCCCAGGCTGCGGTCAAAGGGCATGCCCAGTCATGCTCCCCCGTGCCCCTCAACAGGAACGCCCGTCGGCGCGGGCCACGGCCTGCTGCCGCTGCCGCCCATCACGGCTCTCTGCGTGCCGAGGGGCTGTGGGACACGTCCGCAGACGCGTCCACGACATGTCCACGGCACGCAGCGTAGGACTTGCCTCGCGCCGAGCACCTGAACCCGGACCCGGTCCCTCCTTGCGGGAGCGCCTCGCCCCACCAGCGTCGCGCTGCCGGAGCCTTCCTGAACCTGCTCGGAGCCTTCCTATAGGTACGTCTCGCCGACGGGCGTCGCTTTGCTCGCCGCCGCTCTGCTCGCGTGAGTTTGGCGTGTGTTCTGGGCGGACCTCTGGGAGCCTCCTCCGAGCCCGGCCGGACCCTCTTCATAGGTGGGTCGGCCTCGCGCTTTGGGGGTGCGTCTCTTGCTGCACGAGTTGCTGCCGCGTCTGCTGCAGAAAGCACACGCCCGAGGTGATCGCGCGCGTGAGCGGGCGGCTGAGTGTGATGCGCATGATGCCCTCGGGCCGCCTCTCGCGCGACCAAAAGGAGCTGCTGGCGCAGAGGGACCCCGCGCTGCGGCCACTGGTGTGAGCCCTATTCGCCGCGCGCGGGAGAGGCGATTTGGGTGGAGTTTGTGGGAGCTGGGACAGATGCAGCTCTCCGACTCTGGTGTTGGCGTACTTGGCCACTTGAGAGAGAGTGTGTGTGAGTGGTGTTGCTGCTTATACGTGGGAGCGTGTGTGTTGCTGTTTTGGGGTGTGATAGAGACAGGGCCGTGAAATCTGAGCGCCGCGGCCAAGCCCGGAGGCGGAGTGCCGTGGCGGGCCAGGCCCCCGCCAGGCTCGAGGCTGTGTGTGCAGCGGACACACATATATTGACATATTCACGCGTAGAGCCGTACACAGAGGATCTCTCTGTCTCTCGTCTCTGACGACGCGTGTGAGCTCGTGACGCGATCGACGGGCGACGCGATGCCGCCGCGTACACCGCCCGCGCGTGCGTGTAGCTATAGACGCAACACGGCGCGCGTAGAGAGTTGTGTGGGTACTGGGCTGGGATTTTACTGACGTAATCGTACCCTGCTCTATCGGTGCTCGCTATACCTACGCGCTACGGCGAGATGGCATGATTTGTGACACCAACTTGCTGCAACCATGCCCCGCACCCGATCGTCTCCCAGAGCGGCTTGAGAACGTCTCGAAGCCGATGCGTCTTTGAGGCCAAGCTGCCTCCCGGGTGGAAGACAATTGGGCCACGCTGCTCCCTCTTCCGGCTCGGCGTGTCTTTCACCCATCGCATGTTCACCTTCTCCAGCGGAGTGCGCGGGCACAGGCCGTAAGAGAGCACTTCAACTCGAAGGCCATCGTCGCAGCTGCCGACGATAGAGTACCGCTCGCGGTCCTCCTCCTCGCTGAGCAGTTGCTCGGCGAGTGCAGATGTTGAGCCTTCCAAGCTTCGGAAGAGCCGCAGGCTGGCATGGGCAGGAGAGAGGGGCACGCCGGCAGGGGTGCTCCACGTACAGTTATGCACGCCGAGAGTCTGCAGCAGCACGAGCTGCTCATTGGCCACGCGACCGATGAAACGGGTGCTGCGCGACTGCCACGCCCTCGCCTCCTCGAGCAGCCGAATCACCCGCTGCGTCGGCCTGAAGTAGGCGGAGCCGGTGCAGAGATGGAAACCCGTCCTCTGCCAGTCCTCTTTGAAGGTGCGAGCCGACCCCTGGAGCTGCCAGCCGCTCTGGCAGAGCGTGGAACCCTTGTAGTTGCTGCCGTGAATATGTCGCCGCCTGGCCGTCTCGCGTGCGTCGAGCTCGAACGCGCAATCGGGGCAGGCCACAATGTCCGCACCGCTACGGCGAAGCCGCTCCACCGGCGATCGGAGAAGGATTGCGTCGGGATCTAACTTGAACACCGACGCGCCGCTGCGGAGGACGTCGATCACATCGTCCCAGTAACGCCCCTCGTAGTCCTCTTTTGCTGCCGTATTTGCGATGGACGCATGAACGCGGCGTCGCGGCTTCCACGATAGCCTACGGCTCACCACGACTCCGGGCGAATCTTCGACCGCCTTTTCGGCGCAGCGTGTCCAGAGGTTGAGTATAGACTCCCAATCTTGACGCGTGCTCCCGTTGAATGGGATCTGCAGGGTCGCCAGGATCTCTGTGAGCCCTGTCTGCGGACCCTCCAGAGCGTGACGCCGACCGGCGACGGCCTGTTCCATATGCAGGTGCATTCGCGCCTTATGCGCTTGCGTCTTGTGAACTTGCGCCGCATGCATTTGGTGCCAGAGAGATCGACTCGGTCTGGCGTTTGCTCCGGGGTCCGCGCGTCCGGCGGCCCAATTCCTGGTTATTTTCAATTTTGGCTTTCCACTCGGCCTGTGCGGCGTTTTACGTAATCAGTAAAGCAACGCGTGACGCGTGATGTGAGTAACGCATGATATGTTGTTAGCCGACAGAGCTCACACAAAACGTCGTGGCGCATGATGATGTGCCCCACGGGCGGCCACGTCCTGTCTCTTGAGAAGAGGAGGTCCTGTCTCGCCTGTGTCCTGACTCAGCACTCACCTGTGGCGCCGATGCGCTCGTTTGCCTCCCTGGGACTGGGTCCATGGGGCACGGGCTTCGACTCTCCTTTGCTAGCTCACACCGAGGCCGTGGTTGCGGTAGTCGGCCACAATCTCGACGGCGCGCTGCGCCGCCGGGAAGGCGTCGCGGATCGCCTCGACGCTGTCCGGCGGCGCCTCGCAGAGCAGGCTGAGGCTGAGCGGGTAGCGCTGCATCTGGCCGCGCCAGCCCGCCGCCTCTGCGCAGGCGGCGAGGAGCGCCTTGACGACGGCGGGCGAGGCCTTGCACGCCGCGGCAAAGTGGAGCGGGGCGTTGCCCTCCTCGTCCTTCTCCGCAGCGGCGGCGGGCCAGGCCGCGAGCAGGACGGCCACCACCTCGGCCGTCTGGCCGTTGCAGGCCGCCGAATGCAGCAGCGTGTGGCGGCCCTGCCGCTTGCGTATGCTCTCGGGATACCGTTTGAGCAGGGCGCTCACGACGTCGGCGCCGCAGCCATTCGCGACTGCGCCGTGCACCGCGAGGTTCCCCTCCCCGTCGGGCGTGCGCGCCGCCGCGGGGTTGGCCGCGAGCAGCGCCTCGACCACGGCCAGCGGCGCGCGGTTGCAGCAGGCGAGGTGGAGCGGGGTGTTGCCCGTTTGGGGGTCAACGTCGGCAGCGAGCGCCGGGTTCTCCTTGACGGCCTTGACGACGCTCTTTGGCTTGACGGTGGTGCCAGCAGTGAGCTGGGCGAGCAGGGACATATGTGTATATATCCGCGTGACGCGCGTAAGAGCACGTACACCAAGACGTAGCGCCAGGGTTCGGGCTCCAAGCGGGTAGGGGTAAATTGCCAACGGATAATAGGAGATGGGTAAGGGAAGAAGATTTTTTACTTAAATACATATCACTGGGGCCAGCAAACAGTGCGGATGAACGGAACGATTACCCCTGACGGTCTACTGGGAGAAAAGGAGCTAGGAGGGCCGGCGCCGCCAATGCTGCCGCTCACATCCAACTGACCGTCTCTCACACTGCGTCGCAAATCCGGGGCGGCGCGCCAAGGAGCCCGGGGGGGGGGGCGTGCGGAGGGGCCGCAGCGGCGCGTCAGGGCAGGAAGCCGCTCTGGTTGAGGTAGGCCTTGTAGCGCGCGCGCAGCTCGGGCACATCTCCGAAAAAGGAGCAGTGCCCGCCCGGCACGCAGAGCGAGCGCGCCTGTGGGCAGGGCGGGGCGGAGTGCGGTTCGGCACGCGCCCGTCACGGACGCGGGTGGGCGAACTCGCTGGCTCCGGCCCTGGGGCGTGTCTCGGAACTGTCTCGGAATTGTCTCGGAAAGGGTCTCGGAACTGGAAACGGTCTCGGAAGGAAAAGGTCTCGGAAGGGTCTCGGAAAGGGGAAAGGGTGTGTCTCGGGAGTGTCTCGGGAGTGCCCGCGCCTGGAGCAACTCGGGCTGGCTCCGGCCGTAGCGGGCGGCGAGCAATCGCTCGGCGAAGTGGTGCGGCATCATCTCGTCGTGCCTAGTCTCGGACGATCTCGGGTGAGCTCGGGGTGAGCTCGGCGAGACGGCGCGGCGTCGTGGCGTCGACTGCTCGGCAAAGAAGACGAAGAGGTCGCCTGGCAGAGGGCAGACTGCGGATGAGTCGAACCGGAACTGGGACGGTGCGCGTCGACAGACGCCAGCGGCGGCGCCTCGCATCCGCCCCGCCTTGCCGACGTTGTCGAGCCTGTAGAAAAAAGAAAGAAAAGGCTGAAAATAGAAAAAAGAAACCGCCCTGCCGACGTTGTCGAGCCTGTCCAGCACGGCGCAGTGCGGCGCGTGCCGCTCGGCGGCGGAGGGCGGGCGGAATGCCAGCGCGACAACCAGCCACGCAGCGAGCCAGACGGCGCACCTGGACCCACACGGTTCCAAAGGAGTTAAGAGACGCTGCTCACAGCAGGCCGCGCGGCGAGCCGAGGCGGCGCACGGAGCGATGGCGCGCAGGAAGGAGCGCGACCAGCGCGGCGCCTTGGAGAGGACGACCTGCGGGCGCACGGGCTCCGAGGAGAAGAGTCCGAGCAAGAGGGTCCGAGGAGGGGTCCGAGAGGGTCCGAGGAGGGGTCCGAGAGGGTCCGAGGAGGGTCCGAGGAGAAGGGTCCGAGGAGAAGGTCCGAGGAGGGTCCGAGGAAGTGCGGAGGCTTGGCAGCCCGCGCCTGCTCGTAGAGTCCCTTGCCGACGTGCGCAGAGACGGCGTGCATCGAGGCGAAAGTCTGGTCGAGGGTGACGCGCCTACGAGATGGGGAGAGGTGGGGAGAGAGGGGGAGAGATGGGGAGAGATGGGGAGAGGTGATGGGGAGAGGTGATGGGGAGAGGTGGGGAGAGGTGGGGAGAGGTGGGGAGAGGTGGGGAGAGGTGGGGAGACGCGGGGAGACGCGGGGAGACATTTCGCATCTACGCTGCCTCGCAGGCCGGGGTGGCGGACGCCCAAGGCGCACGCGGCGCCACCGCCAATCGAGAGACCGTGCACGAGGACGCGCTCGACGGGCGCGCCTGTCCGCCACAGCTGAAGACGGCTTCCTCCCTCCGTCTCTTGCTCTACAGCGGCCGCTCGACGCGGCGGCGGCGCCTCGCGCGGTGCGGATGTGCGAGAGGGCGGCCTAGGGTTAGGGTCAGGGTCAGGGTCAGGGTCAGGGTCAGGGTCGGGGTCAGGGGTAGGGTCAGGGTGTAGGGTCAGGGTCAGGGTCAGGGGTAGGGTGAGGGTGAGGGTGAGGGTGAGGGTGAGGGTGAGGGTGAGGGTGAGGGTGAGGGTGAGGGTGAGGGTGAGGGGTAGGGGTAGGGGTAGGGGTAGGGGTAGGGGTAGGGGTAGGGGTAGGGGTAGGGGTAGGGGTAGGGGTAGGGTGTGCGAGAGGCGGCCTCCGCGTCGAGGTAGAGGGAGAGCTCGGAGGGGCAGTAGGCGGCCTCGCCGGGGAGCAACGCGCCCGCCTCCCTCGCGTCGGGGCTGCCCGGCGCGTCGGGCCGCTCCGAGTACGCGGCGTGCTCCTGCACATGTCAAATGGACATGTCACACGGCAGCCAAGAGGGTGAGGGTGAGGGTGAGGGTGAGGGTGAGGGTTAGTGCTCATGTCACATGGCAGCGGAGAGGGTGAGGGGGAGGATGTCACGAGTCCTTCTCGGAAGTGTGTCGAGGCGGCGGGCTCCTCGGCGGGGTCGGGGTAGCCCCAGAAGGTGAGGACGAGGACGGCGCAGCCGAGGCTGAGGTAATACTGCGCCCAGTCCGTCATGTCGTCCAGCACCATCGCGTTGGCGTGTAGCAGCAGCACCACGGGCCGAGCGCCCTCGCCATTGTTCCCGCCGCCGCCGCCGCCAGCATTTTGCCCCTGCGGCTCGGCCCACACAGCGTGCACCGCCCGCTCGTCCGAGGTGGTGAGCGAGACCTCCTCCGCCCCCAGCCGCCTCAGGAGCAGCGCGCGCTGCGTCGCGTGCTCCCACCGCAGCTGTCCCGCGAGCGGAAAATAGAGGAGCTGGCGCAGGCGCGGCCACTCGAAGCCGACCAGGTAGCGGTAGGGAAGGTAGCAGCAGCAGGAATAGCCGAAGAGCAGCACTCCGGCGAACCACATGAGCGCCGCCATGCCGCGAGTTTTGCAAAAAGATTTCGCGCGGCGCGAGCTTGCACCAGGCTTCGGGAGAGAGAGAGATTTCTTCTCTCTTGGCTTCGGCTTCGCACTCGTCTACGGCCTCACGTGGCGCCCCGAGGCGTCTGCCGAGGGATGGATCAAGACGGATGCAGGCTCCTGGAAGTGCATGGGGTGGTAGTACGACGCGAAGTGGGTGGGTGGGTCAAGAAAGCCATAACGCGGCTGGTGCTCGTGGAAACTTCGGGTGGCATTGCGCCGCCCACCAAGCAGTTCCTCCACGTGTTCGCCAAGGAAGCGGTGGGCACCAACACGGTTCCGGACGGTGTAATGGGGCGGCGTCGGCGAGCGCCTCCTCCTTTGTCGTCGTCCACCACCACGCAGCAGATCTCCATGGCGGCGGTGGCGGGCGACGCCGAAAACATCAACAAGCAGGCGCGCAATGCGCGTGCCGACTGGGTTAAATCCCCTGGGCGTGCCAAATGGGACTAGTTGCAAATACGGGTGCTGTGGAAATGATTGAATTTTGATGTTTTTTGTTCCGTGTTGCTCCCAGCGCCCTCGCCCGCACCTCCCTGAGGCCATGGCTGGTGCTACTAGTATGGGGGGCTACCTGGCTACCGCGAGAGCGACCCAGCTCGTCGACATCGTCCGATTATGGTGCCTCAAAGTCAGCCTTCGGAGGTTATCGTGGGGTCGAGCCGGCAGTAGCCGTGACATGTGGTTCCACCACCCCTCGTAGGCTTTGCCTCTGACCGCCACCGTTCCCAGGCTGCCTAATGGGATGGAAAGGAAGGCTCGGCGAGCGTATAGAAGCGTGCTCGACCTCGTCGTGGCAACCTGCACGGCAGCGCTGGCGGGCGCGATGAGCGTCGTGCCACCTGACCCGAGACGGGTCGCAGGCGTCGTACCGAGCGCGTCGAGACCGTGTCCTGATGTGCTCTGCACGGGCGAGTCACGTCGGCGTCAAAGGAGCGACGTGTGACCTGTCAGAGCTTGATCTCCGATCTCAGCGGCGTCGAGTCGCCTTCGGTGGCGACAGCTAGGATGCATCTCCTCCGTCGTTTTTCGCGCGATGGCCCTGGGAAGCTGGCGGCGCACGCAGGCGGACCTTGTGTGTGCGCGGAACGCTTAAAAAGTGCCAAAGACTTAAAGTGGGTGCCCTACGTCACTTTTTTTTGAGCAGATAGTGCCGAGCTCGGCCGTAACAGCGTTTTTCACAGTTTTTGTTTTTTCCACGTGAGACTTTTTCTCGCTGTAGCTCTTACGTACATTTTTGCAACTAGTCATGGGTCAACGACGAGGGACGTCAACAACAAGCTACTTGAGCGTCTTGACAAGCAACTAGTAGCAAGCGGCAGACGTCCTCTTAGCCTCGGCCCCAGTGGGGGGCGCCCACGCCGCCTAGCTCTGCGGGCGGGCCCCTCCACCCTTCACGTACGGATCATGTAGTCCCCACAATCGCTGTCGTGGGATCGCTTGTCATGTGAGAGAGTGCGTTGTGTTCTTGTTTTCTATCCGGTTTCTCTCTTCTCTGCCGACGGGCTGCCGGCAGCTCAGTCTGCTCAGCGATCCATTTCCGCCGCATGCGGTGCGCCGCCGCCGCCGTGGTTGCCGCCCTTTGGCGGGTCGATGAAGATGTCGGCGATCATAAAGAGCGCCGCCAGCGCAGCAGCGGTCCTCGTCTGCGCGTCCGTGCCGGGCGTGATCTCGAGCTTGATCTTGGAGCTCTCGCTGATGTCGCCCCCTTGCTGCCAGAGCTTGAGCAGGCCGACAGAAGGGCCGTCCGGCGTGGTCTTGAGGTCATAGAGGCCGGGCACCCCTGGCATCACGCAGCAGATGATGGCGATCGACGCGATCGAGCACGTCGGGAAGAAGAGGCAGAAGGAGGCGATGCACCAGTACGTCTTGCACTGAAAGCAGCCGTGCGACCTTGGCCGAACGCCTTTGCCGCTCGCGTCAACGTAGGAGTGGCCCATGCCCCACTTGCTGGTCTGCATCTTGCCATAGGGCGCGCCGAAGACGCTCACCGGCAAGTCGGTCTCGCCTGACGAGATCATCGTCGGCCGCGAGCTGCGGCTCCACTGCGCGAGCACGGTGTTGTCCGGCAGGACGATCGCCGCGGCCATGTCGCCGCGGAAGCGGTCTCCAGTGGCGACGCAGAGCGTGGCGATTTCGGGATTGCCCTCCGCCGTGCTCTTGATCGAAAATGAGCCGCGAGTTGCCGTGGCAATCCCAAAGGGGTTCATCAAGGTCGACTGCTGCTGGAAGACCTGGCTGAGGAATTGATACGTGCCCTCCGAGTCGTGCTGATCGGATCTCACCGCGACCTCGATGCCATCGAGGCCGCCGAAGAGCGAGACCATCTCCTCCTGCGAGCGACCCGCCGTCGGCGCCGCCACCGCCACCGGCACGGCCATGGCCATGGAAGTCGGTTGCATCTGCGCCATCTCCTCTTGCTCGTCTGCACGTCGCACGCGCGCGTGGCCGAAACCGCCGTCTGCAAGAACCGCGGCGGCTAACCTCCAAACCAAGCGGCACCGGCCTGTCGACCTTGTAGAGGCTGTGAAAAGCCGAGGCGGTGCCCGGCCCCCGCCGAGAACCTGCCGGACCTTAGACAGCATTCATTGTACTCAGTATGTAGAATTTATGGAGATCCCCTCGCGAGGGTGGGTGGTGGCGTCGTCCCCGTCGGGTCCTCAGCGCTCAGGGTGGGGGAGAGAGAGATTTTTAATACCAAACAACTCTCAAGAAACAACTCTAACACTCACACACATGAACATGAACATGATGTTGTTGTCAGGGTGGAGTCGCCGAACGAAGGACGGGTAGTCGTCGATCATGATTCATGTGCGGGGGGGGGGGGGGGGGGGGTTCGGCACGAGCAGCAGAGGGAGAAGTCAGAAGAGCCATGTCTGAGAGCCAGAGCGCCGCGTATCGTACTACGCCAGTCCGACGCCAGCGGGCGTCGGCGCCGTCGCATGGCGCCCGCGCGAGGCACAGGGACAGGCGCGCGGCGATCACGGAGGGCCGCGGCTGGGGGGCGCTGCCGCCGCTGCGCCGCTCTCGTGCACTGTGGACTGCACTGTGGACTGCACGACCACGAGCACTGGCCACTGCGGCACGACGAGCTCACGGCGACCGACACCCGACCGTGTGTGAGTGTGTGTCCGTGACCGTGTGTGTGTGTGTCGCGGGGTGCGGGTGGGGGAGAGCTGACCTCGAGACGAGTGTGCGGGCCGGCGCTCTGTAGAAGCTTCGAGGTGCCCTCTTCGAGCAGGAGGTCAGCCCAGGTCAAAACAACTTATTCATTCACCCACACTGCGTCTCAGGGAATTGTCGACTCAGAGCTAAAAACACAAACGACTGACAGCGAATTTCGGTGGAGCGCGGCGTGCCTATCTCCGGGGCTGGGCGCACGGTATCCGCCGATTTCGCCGAGCCCCATCATGCTGCACGTTACGATCCACGCTACTGGACCAGTGATGCTTGGACTACTGGCACGCCGTGTGCGATGCTGGATCCTCGCTTCGCTGGCCGAGCATCACACGAGAGCGCGCAGCCTCCGCGGCTCGTCGCCTCGGGCCCGCCGCAGAGCGAGATCACCTTCGAGACTGCGTAGTCCAGGAGGCTGAACAGCAGTCACAGGACCATCCGAGGGAAGAATTTAACAAGCAGAAAAACTCAAGAATCTAGAGCACGCGCTCGTGCCCGAGAGAGAGAGAGAGAGAGAGAGAGAGAGAGAGAGAGAGAGACGCCCAGGAGGGGAGGGGGCATGTGTAACGACACTGCTAGAGATGCCTTTCGGGGCCCAGAGATAAAACTTCTGTGATGCCATGCGTGACCTAGTAGTGTCCCCAGCTATGGGCGTGTCCACGTTGGAGCCAGGTGTGGTGTGGGCGCGAGAATAGCTCCGCCGTTCATGGAGGCAACCGATGCGAGTCGACTGGTGTGTGTCGTCGTGGTTTCGTATCAAGACTTCTCTCTCTCTCTCTCTCGCTCGTGCCCCTTCCGGCGCAGCTTCACAGCGAGGCCTTCCTGCATGGTCGTCTTGCCACTGCCTGGGCCGGCGACGGTGGCCACAACCGTGGGCCGGCGGCCGACCGCTTCGGACGGCGATCATGCATGCGCTTTTGTTTTTGTGTTGCATGCGTGAGGGGAATTTTCTGCTCGTCGGTCAGGCCCGGCTGGGCATGTCGTCAGCGCCATGGGACTGGTTTCGGGCGCAGATCGACCACCCGGTGCGGAAGGGCTCAGCACGCCCCCCAAAAAATGAATGCCCCTCCGGGTCGCCTCGCCGGACGCCGGTGGTCGCCTCGAGCGGGTTGGCCGGCTGCGCCAGCGGCGCAATCTCGGGGGCCTCTTGTAGTACATCCCGAACTCGGCGACGAGGGAGTGCTCCGCGGGCTCGTCCGCGATGATGCCCCCGGGGCAGCCCTGGTAGGGCTCGTCGAGCACCTTGCGCGTGTCATGGCGCTGCGCGCTCGGCGGCGGCAGTAGAGCGAGGGGCCGAGGGACCATACCCCCCCACCCCTGTCGAGGGCTAGTCTTGGGCGGTCAGGACCATACCCGCCCACCCTCCATACCATACCGTCCCGCAAAAAGTTGGAAACCCTGCCCCGCCGCGTTGTTGCTTGCAGGCCGCTGCCGCCACGGCCGCGTCCTCCCCTCTCGCCGCCGCTCCGTTCGTGGCCGCCGCCTCCCCTGTCAATCCCGCCGTCTGCACCACCGCTGCCACCGCCCCGCGCCTCGCCGCCGCCGCCGCCACCCTCCCCCTCGCCGCTGAGCGGTGCTTGGCGAGCCTTCTCACCCGTCCCGGCCGCGCTGCGCACAGCCTGTGCACACTCTCTCCTTCTCTGTACTCTGACTGCGCCGCCGGCGCCGCCACGCATGCGGTTGGGTGCTTGGGTCAGCGGCGTGAGCCGAGAGGTGGCCCACCGCTGACAGCGCTCAGCGCGGGGGGGGGGGGCGCCCCCCGCGCGGCCCACACACGCGCCCAGCGCAGCATGCAGCACGACGAGCTCCTCTCGCCACCCCGCGCGCGGCGGGGCGTGACGTCTGTAGCGAGCCAGGTAGCGAGGCGACGAGGCGACGGTGGGACGGTGTCCGGAACGTTCTGGGGTTTTCATATAATGCGGCTCCACTCGTATCCGAGACGGTCACACTCCTATATCAGCCACACGCCCCTCGCCCCCCTCTCACTCCTGCGACCACACCTCGATCTTCTTGGGCAGCATCTGGTCCGACAGGTCCTCTCCGTGGCCTAAGCGGCCGAGTCCGCCAGCGCCCCAGCTCCAGACTGCGCCGTCGGCGGTGATGGCGAGGCTGTGGTCTTCCCCTGCCGACACAGCGACGACGCGCTGGCCAGCAAAGGCCTCGATCTTCTTCGGCAGCAGCTGGGTCTGCGCGTCGCCGTGGCCCAACCGGCCGTAGTTTCCATTGCCCCAGCTCCAGATGGCGCCGTTGGCGGTGAGGGCAAGGCCGTGCTGCGCTCCAGCCGATACAGCGATGACACGCTGGTCAGCAAAGGCCTCGATCTTCTTTGGCAGCAGCTGGTTCTGCGTGTCGTCGTGGCCCAGCTGGCCAAAGCATCCATAGCCCCAGCTCCAGAGGGCGCCGTCGGCGGTGATGGCGAGGTTGTGCGCGAATCCCGCCGACACAGCGACGACGCGCTGGCCAGCAAAGGCCTCGATCTTCTTGGGCAGCAGCTGGCGCTGCTGGTCGCCGTGGCCGAGCTGGCGAAAGCGTCCATAGCCCCAGCTCCAGACGGCGCCGTCGGCGGTGATGGCGAGGGTGTGCGCGATTCCAGCCGACATAGCGACGACGCGCCGGCCAGCCAAAGCCTCGACCTTCTTCGGCAGCAGCTGGTGCTGCTGGTCGCCGTGGCCCAGCTTGCCAAAGCTTCCACCGCCCCAGCTCCAGACGGAGCCGTCGGCAGTGATGGCGAGGCTGTGGTTCAGTCCAGCGGACACAGCGACGACGCGCTGGCCAGCAAAGGCCTCGATCTTCTTGGGCTGCCACTGGTCCTCCTCGTCACCGTGTCCCAGCTTGCCGTCCTCGCCGCTGCCCCAGGACCAAAGGGCGCCGTCCACGGAGAGAGCGAGGCTGTATCGTGACGCCGCCACACCAATCGCGCGCTCGCCTCCGGGAGGCGGGTCGAGGAGCGACGGGAGACGGGTCGGCGTCTTAAGCTGCAGCACGCCCTCGCCGTGGCCGAGAAGGCCTGGAAACTCCTCCTCTTCGTCCTCCTCGCCCTCCTCGCCCTCCTCGCCCTCCGCTGCCGCGCCGCACGATGAGAGCCGCCCCTCACCGTCGATGAAGACGCTGTGCTGACGGCCTGCCGCCGCCCTCGCCGGCGGGTTGGCCTCGCGCAGCAAGGCATAGAGGCACAGCCACCGCACGGCGCAGCTCTCGCCCTCTGGCTGCGCCGGCGGCTCGTAGCCGGCCTCTTGCAGGCGCAAGCGGATGCCCTCCAGCTTAAGCGAGGCGTGGAAGAGCAGCGAGACGGCCGCGGCGCGAGCGATGTCGGCGGGGCTGTCGAAGCGGGAGATGACGCGCGCGACAAGCTCGAGGGGCAGGTCGGTGAGGGGGCAGTGTGCGGCGGCGGCGGCGGCGGCGGCGAGGCGGCGCGAGTGGCGGCGCGGCGGGGTGGACATCGCGAGGAAAAGAAAAGAAGCGCTGCAGTTACCTCCGTGCACGGCGCGCATTTTTTTTCTTGCGGGCGCGCGTTTACCGCGAAGCTTGCCGAGACGCCCTGCTTCGCATGACGAGCCTCACCGGCTCCACCGCGGCGACGCTGTCGGGCACGGTCGCGCCTCCCACCGTCCAGGCGGCGCTTCTCGGCTCCGTGGTTCAGATCGCGACGCTGTCCGCTGTTTGGCTGCGATACACATCGGTGGCGAGCTGCATCCCCGATCCTCGGGGGTGCTGGCACGATCCCTGGGCCAGGCAGGTCTTGATCACGCTGACAATCTGCCTGTCGCTGTGGCTACTCTCGCTGCGCACGATCCGCTCCAAGGGCACCTCCGACCCTTCCATCGTCGACCGCCTCTGGTCCATCCTGCCGTGGCTCTACTGCTGGCACTGGTACGGATCGGCGCCCACGCCGCGCGGGCTGCTCCTCGCGACGCTGGCTTCGATCTGGGGCCTCCGCCTGACCGCCAACTTTGCACGCAAGGGCGGCTTTTCGGGCGGCGAGGACTACCGCTGGGCAGAGATCCGCACCTGGCCCGGCTTCGACCGCGGTTGGGAGGTCTTCAATCTGCTCTTCATCTGCGGGTGCCGCGCTGCCCTCGCCAGATACCCGCGCGTCGCGGCGTCGCCATACATGCCCCTGCCACCGCCTCTCACACCGCCTCGCTGCTTCACCAAAGCTCGGTGACGCCCCTGCCCTCGCCGCGGAACGCGGAAGCTCGGTGACGCTACCCTCGCCGGGGACACCGCCTCTCACCCCCGCCCTCGGTAACGCCTAGGTTCCAGCAGCTCGTCATCCTCGCCTTCTCGTCGCCCGCGGCGGCGGCGGCCAGCTCGGACGTGCCGCTCAACGCACTCGACGCCGCGGCGACGGCGCTCTACCTCTTGCTGCTCGCGGGCGAGGCGACGGCAGACCGGCAGATGATGCGCTTCCAGACGGAAAAGTACCGCCGCCTGCGCGCCAAGGAGCCGCTCGGCGCCGAGTTTGGCCGCGGTTTCCTCTGCTCGGGCCTGTGGCGCTACTCGCGCCACCCAAACTACTTTTGCGAGGTTGCGATCTGGTGGGCCTTTTACCTCTTCTCGCTCGCCGCCGGGTGGCCGACTCGGGCGACGGTACAACGCCGCCGGCAGGACACGTCCCGGACATGTCCTGGACGCGTCCTGTAGGCTGCCGCTCGTCAACTGGACCATCTCGGGCGCGGCATTCCTCACTTGCCTCTTTGTGCTGCCGCACGCCTCGCTCGACGTCACCGAGGTCCTCTCCTCGCGAAAGTACCCGCAGTACGCAGAGTATCAAGCGACCGTCTCGCGCTTCTTTCCACTGCCGCCGCTGCCTGCCGGCGAGCGAGCGCCGATGCGACCCGTCGACGCGGTCCTCATCGGCTGGTTCTGCGTCGGCCTCGCGGTCACTTTCTTTGTCGACATCGAGGCTGTCCTCGTGCAGCGGCCCGACCTGTACGGCCTCGACGCAGCGCACACGCCGCTGTGGCCGCCAGAGCCGTGCGTCCGCGCCGTCCGGTGGTGGAGTGCCGCCGACCCGCTGATGCACGCGCGGCCGGTCTGGTTCCGAGCTGCCATTTGGGTCGAGGTGCTGGTGCAGGCGCCCTTCTACGCCGTCGCCATCTACGCCTTTGTGCGGCAGCGCAGCTGGGTCCGCGTGCCCGCCGTCGTGTACGCCACCGTCCTGCTCACCATCATGCCCATCGTCCTCGCGGAGCAGTACTTCGGACCCCACGCCTCACGCCGCCCGCTCCTCGTCACGGCCGTCTACGGCGCCTACGTCCTCATGCCGGTCCTGCTTCTCGTGCGCGTGTGGAGCGTGGACGTGTTCCCGAGCACGCCGCTCGCCAAGCGCAAGGCGGCGGGCCTGGCTGGCGGTGAGGCGGCGGCGCCAGCCGCACGGCGAGTCCGCTCGCCGGCGAGGAAGCGGGCGTGAGCCTGCCCGGGGCGCGCAAAATTTTAACTCCGACCATGCCACTTTTTGACATCATCATCAACCATCATCACAGCATGTCTCCGCGAGAGGGATTTCAAATAGCCGATGGGATGTAACGTGTGGTTTTCATAGATCAATCATTGGCCGATTAGTCGTGAACCCCGGCTCCCCGGCACGAGAGGGCGGCACACGCACAGCCACACAGCGGTCAGCGCGCACGAGCAGGTGGGGGAGCCCCGTTCGAGGCAGCCCGTTCCGGAGTGCGGAGAGCTGAGTTCATGCGAGAGTTCGAACGACTAACGACCCTTTTTCCCTATGTACCGTGTGGCGTGTGGCACAGGGGCAACAACTAAACAAAAATCTCTCTCAGGGGCCGCACGCTCCACGCAGACAGATCTCAGACTTCGCTTATACCTTCTCGCAGCTGCGAGACGAGCTTTCTCGGAGCGACAGCCTCAAAGTAAAAAGGGAAGGGTGGCGAGGAGGAGACTCAGCGCCGCAGCATCTGACCTCGATACTAACAAAGAGGTAGGTAGGTAGAAAGGTGAAGAACAGCCAGGCTCGGACTGGCAACGCGGTATGGGTGAACGCCGGACAGACGATGACGACACGCACGACAACAAAGTGGGGTACCGTCCCGCAAAAAGTTGGAAACCCTGCAATCGGGCCCCGGGGGGCGGGGGGGCGCGTTGTTGCTTGCGGCCGCTGCCGCCACGGCCGCGTCCTCGCCTAGGCCGCCGCCCGTCCGCCTCCTCGACCTCCCCACGGACCTCACCGACGCTCGACGAACCGACATCTGGCCGCCACACCAAGCAAACCGGGCATGGCCATGGCCGCCACCGCTCCCATCCGGTGCGATGGCAAGGTCACCTGGATGGCCTTTGAGCCCGAGTCGTACGAGCACCAGCTGCAGGAGAAGACGAGCGCGATGCGGTCCCTCTTTGGCGCCGTCCTCGCCGGCGTGGAGGTGCAGATCTTCCCTTCCATGCCGGCCCACTTCCGGCAGCGGGCCCGCTTCGCGATGTGCCGCTTCGACGGCGTGCTCAAGTTTGCGCTCTTCGACAAGGACGCACCGCGCGTCGCCGTCGATCGATTCCCGGTCGCCTCGCGGGAGATCAACGAGCTGATGCCGCGGCTGCTCGCCGCGGTCGCGTCGTCTGAGGCGCTCTCGACTGGGCTCGAGGCGTGTCACTTCCTCGGCACCCAGACCGGCGACATGCTCGTGTCCTTGATATACGGCGAGCCGATGCACTCCGACTGGCGGGGCCGGTCCGGAAGCTCCGCCGCTTCTCGACCCTTCCCCGACCCTTCTCGGAGCCTGCCCATAGGCGGGCCGCGGCGGAGGCGATGCGGGCCGAGCTCTCCCTCCCGGCGCTGCTCGGCCGCGCAAAGGGAACTCGCGTGGTGCTCGACCGCGACTCTGTGGACGAGACGTACGCGCTGCACGACGGGAGGCGGCTCACGTACCGGCAGGTCGAGGGCTCCTTCTCCAACCCGAGCGCGGCCATGTGCGAGAGCGCGCGCGGCGGCGACCCGTCCCCCGCCCTCGCCCAACCCGTGCTCGGAGCCGTCCTCTGCTGCAGGTGCGAGAAGACGCTGGACTGGCTCTGCGAGTCGGCGCGGCTCATCGCTGCCGAGAGGGCCAGGCGCGGCGGCGGCGCGGCGCCCGCGCAGTCGCTGCTGCTCGAGCTCTACAGCGGGAACGGCAACCCAACCGGCCGGCACTCGTGGTGCGTGTCGCGGGACACGTCCATGACACGTCCACGACGTGCCCCGCAGGCAACCACACCGTCGCGCTGGCGACGCACTTCTCGCACGTGCTGGCCGTCGAGATCGACAGGCGGCTCTGCGCAGCCGCCGAGCACAACCTGGCCTCCAACGGCGTGCGCAACGCGACGGTGTCTCGCCGCCGGGACTCTGGCGCTCTCTCGGAGCCCCTTTCCACGCGCCTCCGCCGAGCCCCCTCCCGCAGGTGCTCGCCGCCGACTCGGGCCGCTTCTGCCGCTCGCTGCTGCGCAAGCTCGACCGCGGCGCAAAGGAGGCGGCGGCGGGGCGGACGGCGGCACCGCCCGATGCCGAGCTTGGCGGGAGGGAGGAGCCGACACAGCCGGCGGCGGAGGCAGCGGCTCCGTCTGCCAACCCGACGACCCGTTGGCTCGAGGAGGCGCGAGGCAGGACGGACGTCATCCTGGTGGACCCTCCCCGCTGCGGGCTGGACGCGGACACGCTGCGACTCGTGAGCTACTTTGACCACGTGCTGTACATCTCCTGCAACCCGGAGGCGCTGCTCGACAACTTGCAGCGCGGGGGGCTCCTGCAGACGCACGCCGTGGTGCGTAGCGCGATCTTCGATCACTTTGCCTACACGCCGCACCTCGAGTGCGCCGTGCTGCTGCGCCGCCGCACTCTGTGTGAATAGACCTCTCTACACTCTAGTCAACCATTTCCTCTGACAGCAACAACAAAAAGAGTGCTATAAGTGGCGCCCCCTCTATGACTATCCGCGGTGCGCAGGGGGGCCTCCCCGCAGCGTACAGCGTAAATATACGGTCACGGAGAAACGTGCAGGGTGCACCGCCACCGGGGGCGGCGCACCTCCACCTTTTTAGACCACGAAAACGACAGAGGAGAGGGCGAGCTGGAGCCCGCGTGGGTCGCCGCGCGTGCACCCACCATCGGCTGGGGTTCCGCTTCCGGCTCTTTGTGGGGGGTAGGAGCCGGTCGGCCGCACACACTCATGAAATCATGATGTGACCCTCCCACCGCGCCGGTGCACGGTGGGCCTAAATCCCATATCGTCCCTCGCTCCGCCCACGCGCTCCGCAGGATATATTTGAGTCTAACCATCAGCACTTTGAAAAGGGGGAATCTGGTCCTGTCTGCGAATCAGGTCTACAAACTTGGAGCACTATCCACTAAACGTCTAGTGAACAAGGCTGTGAACGAGGCAGCTTCTCTCAAAGTCGCATACACACGTGTGTGTATGCTGGCGGCCGCCCGAGCGGCGCTTCGGCCGGGCTCGGCCGCGGCGTGATCGCGGGCGCGATGGAAGAGCAACGTGCACGGGTACTTGCGGAGGGCCGCCGGCGTGCTGATGTTTGCGTCGCTCACCAGCCAGTCGGAGAACTGGAAGAGATGCGAGATGGCGTGGCGTTTGCGCGGGAAGCCGAGTGCCTCAGGCGTCTGGATGCTATTGATGCGAGCTGCCCACAGAGCGCGCTCGAACGGAAGCTGGCTACTCGCGTTTCGCGCCACCTCCACGAAGGTGCGGAAAAGCGCGTCCTGCCCGTTGTAGATGGCTGCTCTTCCAATGTACCTGTTGCCGCCCTTTGCCTTGCAGCGCACGCCGCACGGGTGGCGGGGATCGCTCCCCTTGACCCAGACGCGCTCGCCGAGTGGAGGCACAAGGGCGACCATGTACTCAAGCCAGATCGGCGTGAGCGGCTCCGTGTCCGCCTCCACGAGGAACCAGTAGTTGTAGAGCTGCAGCCCCGACAGCCGCAGCATCATCCGATAGTAGAGGCGGTTGCCGGAGGAGGAGGTGGCGGCGGCAGCGGCGGTGGCGGCGGGCGTCTCGCTTATGATCAGCCTACGAAAGCACACCGCCGCGCGGCCAACGGCGGCGGCGAGCTGCGCGGGGCTCAGGAGGTGCTCCTCTTGATAGGCGATCAGGTCGACTGAGGTGTCACTCGGGGCGGTCGCGAAGGGACGATGAGGGCGCGGGACGAAGGCCGGCGAGGTCATGCGCTCGCACCGCTGTCCAAATGCACGGCTCGCCGACTGCACCGCACCGAGGGCGTCTCCCTCGCCCTCTGGGATTGCCGCCGCACACGGGGCCAACCCGGGGTCCGACCACAGCTCGGCCGCCCTCTCCAACCTCACCGCGTCTTCTCGCGTGCGAAGGGGCACCACCACCGCCATGTGAAGTCCCACGAGCGGCTGGCGCTCTTCAGTTAGAGATTCTAACTCGACCTGCATTGCTCGCTGCTGAGGCTGGCTGGGACGGACGAATGACTTGCGATAAGCAAGTAAAAGGTGCGTCGCAGCCCAAAAAAACACCCTCCCCTAAAAAGTGGATCTCGGGAGGACGGCACGCCGCCACCTAGCTTACTTACTGGGAGAATAGGTAGAGCATGCGTGTTCTTTCTCTTACTTATCCCCTGGAAGGTCCTATACGCGCGGCGTGAGGGTGCACCTGCACTCTGCCTTGCCATTAAAGAAAGAAAACAGACAACCCAAGGGACATAGTTAGACTATAAGAGGGCTCCCGCGGCGATCAACACCGCAACTCCTTTTCTAAATTTCACCACGCTTCTTACGCGCGACGACGCTACAGCCTCCACCAAACCTCACACTTTTACTTACCCTCGGACATGCTTGCACCGTCATCCTGCGCGTCTGATGCGTCGCGCATCTGCTCGTCACCCTCTCCGTCACTCGCGTCGGCGGGCGACCGTCGTCTTCGCCGCCGGCTACGCGCACAGACACAGTGCGCGGCAGCGCCGACACGTCAACCCGCGTGTACGTCAGCGACGGGTCCCGCACGCCGCACGAGGCGCATGCGTGCAGCGGCAGCGCGTGCGCCATGCGCTCGTCGCTCCACTCGCCCAGCAGCCGCCGCTTCGTCTCGTCGGAGACGTGCACGCAGCGCTGCAGCAGCGCCGCCGTCTCGTCCTCGGGCCGCTCCAGGTCCATGACGACGTTCGTCGAGGCGTGGAAGCGCGTCTCCAGGTCGATGGCCGCCTGCTCGGCCGCGGCGAGCTTGCCCTGGTCGACGCACATGCCGCACACCGCGTGCGCCGGGCAGCCGCACTGGCCGCGTTGTGGGCGCACGGTCTTGGCGACCGCCGGCGCTGCGCGCCGGTCGTGCTGCTCACGCTGCCGGCGGCGCTGGTCGCGCGCCTGCCGATCGCGCGTGTTCGCGGCGGCTGCATCTCCTGCTCGTTTCGCTCGCACCCGAGCGGCGGTCGCCAGGCGCTTCAGGTCGGCGGTGCTGCGCGCGCGGCCGTCGGCTCTGCACAGCCACATGTCCTCCTCCTCGGCAGGCTCGCACGGCTTGCCGTCGAACTGCGGCGGGAACCCGCGACGACGCTTCGCCCAGGCCGGGCACGATGGTGCCGCGACGAGCGGCGTCGAGGCGACGGCCATCGATGGGTCCAGAAGACTTGGAGACACTTCTAAACCAAAAAATCAAAAAAACGAGCACAATTGCGTTACATGGGCATGGCCGGGGTTTCTGCACCGAACGATCTTACTTTCGGTCTATCGAAAGTGTTGATCGATAAACTCGCTTTCTTTGCACTTTGCAAAGGGGGAGGCGACAGGACGGCCAACTCTCTGTCCTCCCATGCTCGCCGCCGCCCCTCCCTCCCTTCCCATCGCACCGGGCGTGAGCCTCCCTTACGTATCTCTCGGGACCGGCTCCGGCATCCACCATCCGGGTGTCAACGTGACGGATGCGGTCACAATGTGGCTGCGAGCGGGCGGCGCCGCCATCGACACCGCCTACGACTACGGCACGCAGCGGCTCATCGCCAAGGGCGTCGCCGCGGCGGGTCCCGCCACCACCGCGCCCTTCCTCACCACCAAGGTTCCCAGCAGCAGCTACGAGAAGGCTGCCGCCCACATCGACGCCGACCTCTCAGAGCTAGGCGTGGCGGCGGTAGACCTTCTGCTCATCCACTTTCCGTCGCTTCGCATGGAGAGCACGTACGACACGTGGCGGGCGCTGGAGGACGCCTACCTGGCGGGAAAGGCGCGCGCGATCGGCGTCTCCAACTTTCAGGCCAAGCACTTTGAGGCGATGCGCGTGCGCAAGCCGCGCGTCTGGCCGCCCGCCCTGAACCAGGGCTCCCTCTCGGTCGGGTACCGCGACGAGGCCACCCTCGCGTACTGCAGCCGGGCGGGGATCGGCTACATGGCCTACTCGCCCCTCTGCGGCGGGCCGAACGGCTCCTCCTGCCGACACGGCTCGGTCCTGGCGATCCCCGAGGTCAAGGCGGTGGCGGCGGCGCACGGCGTCTCGGCCGCGCAGGTGGCGCTCAAGTGGATCGTGCAGCAGAAGCGGCCCCTCGCCACCGCCGTCTGGCGAGCCGACTTTATGAGGGAGGACCTCGACCTGTGGTCCTGGGGCGCGCTGAGCGACGCAGAGATGGAGGCGCTGAGCGCGGTGCACGAGCGGGCGCACGCCGCGGCCCGAAGGGATTGAGAGCCTCTCCCCTCCCCCACGGCCACCGCCACAGGCTGGGGCTAGTAAGAAAGAATGTGAGAGAAGACGGCGAGGTTGGCTTTTGGAGAGTGCAGTTGGCAACCCGCTCAGCCGTAGGGCATGGGGTCACCGGAGCGAGAATTTGTAGAATGAACTCTCGGGGGCACGGGACGCGGCACAAACGCGAAACGGGGGGCACAAACGCCACAGAAAGACATACTCACAAACGCCAAGAATCTCTCTTTCTCAAACGCCAGGCTACAAACAAACACGGGGAGGCAAGTAGTTCGTAGTGACGCAAGGCCAAGGGAGTCTAGGCGACGGTGGCGTCCTCCGACCAGCGAGACACTTGGAGCACTTTGAGTGCAGTCGGTAACCTCACATCCAGGGCCGAGGAGCTAAGAAGCGCACCCAGCGGGCCGGATGGTCGGTATCGGGCTACGGGCTAGAGAGCCCTGACCCCTAGGGGGAGTGCGCGTTCGCAGGGAAAGGGCTGTAAAGTAAACACGGGTCTCCGAGGGTTAGTTCCGTGTACCGGGTTTCCCCTTAACTGCAGAACGCCCCCTCTACTCGGAGCTAACGAGCGCATTCCACCCCGATTTTCTTCAACAGACGATTGCCGCTTTGCTGACCGGCGGCCGCGCGCGCGCGCGCTCTGCGTTCTCTTCTCGACGGCGAGGATGTCAGCCACACCAGAGTCTTCACACGTATCATTCGACTCACTCCTCAAGCGGGCTCGCGAGAACGACGCGGCATCCAGAGCCGCCGCGGCCACAGAGTACCGGCTGCGGGCGACGGTCCTGCTCGAGTCGGGCGCGCACGCAGAAGGCCTGCACCGAACCCTCTGGCAAGGGGCGCTCACACCAACCCTCGTGGACTTGGCCGGGCTGTGCGCACTTTACACCGGAGCCGTGGCGCCGATTGACGCGCCGCCGCCGACCATGGAGGAGCTCTCGCAGTGCAGCGCGCTGCGGGGCTTCGCGCACCAGCTGCGTGAGGCGCAGAGGCCGGCGGAGCTGCCTCCCGCAGATGGCACGCCATCGTCCTCGTCCTGGCCGCAGTGGCGAGCACCGCAACCGGCGCTGAGCTCCGACGGAGGCCCGCCCCCAATCGCCGCGCAGCCTGCGCCGGCGGCTGGCGGGCTCCGGTGCGGCCCGGCTCTGGCAGCGTCGGCGGCACACCTCCGAGGGCCGGACCGCACATGTCCCGGACATGTCCAGGACACGTCCGTTGCACGTCCCCTAGGCACCTCCGAGGGCCGGCGGCGGAGCGGGCCGCCTGCCCGCCGAGCAAGGCGGTCGCGGGGCGGGGTGGGGCGCGCAGCAGCGAGCGCCTCCGCACGCCCACCACGCGCAAGGCGAGACGCGCCGCGTGGAGGCGCAGCCTCGTCAAGAGCCTCGTCACGCGGCGGCCTCCGCGGCGGAGAGCGCGGGCGGCTTCATGTCGGCGCGGGATCGGCGCCAAATCGACCTGATGCGCAAGGGCGGCAAGGGCGGCGGAGGGGGCGGCGGAGGTGGCGGAGGTGGCGGAGGCGGCGGAGGGGGCGGAGGCGGCGGTGGCCACTACAGCGGTGGCGGGCGGGGGGGCGGCGGGCCCCCGGGGCTGCACGCCGCCCTGAATGGTCCTCCCGACGGCGGTGGCGGCACCTCGGGCGGTGGCGGCACCTCGGGGGGGGCGCGGGCCGCGGGGCTGCGGCGGCCGTTCGCCCGCCCGCGGGGCGTTGGAGGAGGCGGCGGGAACGGCGGTGGGGGTGGAGGCGGTGGAGGCGGTGGAGGCGGTGGAGGCGGTGGAGGCGGTGGAGGCGGTGGAGGCATCAGCGGCGGCGGCGGCGGCGGCGGCGGCGGCGAGGGCGAAGTCTCGCCCGAGGTGGCTGCCTTGATGGAGCACCCGGCCATGCGCGGCGTCGAGCCACAACTCACCTCTCCCCCCCCCCTCCCCACCACCCCCCGCCCCTCTCCCCCCCCCCTCCCCCCTCACCTCCTTCTTCTCCAAGGCGCGGCTCGCCGAGGTGATCCTCAACGAAGTGGTGGACGCCTCGCCCGGCGTGACCTGGGAGGAGATCGCCGGGCTAAGCTACGCCAAGCAGTCCGTGCGCGAGATCACGGTCTGGCCGCTCCTCCGCCCGGACATCTTCACCGGTCAGCGGAGGCCGCCTCGCGGGCTGCTGCTCTTCGGCCCGCCCGGCACCGGCAAGACGCTCATCGCAAAGGCGATCGCCGCCGAGGGCAACGCCACCTTCTTCTCCATCTCCGCCTCGTCTCTCATGTCCAAGTGGATGGGCGACTCCGAGCGGCTCGTCCGCGCACTCTTTGGCGTGGCGCGCGCGCGCAAGCCGTCCGTCATCTTCATTGACGAGGTGGACTCCCCCCCCCCCCCCCCACCACCACACACACCGCTCACCCACGCGCATTGGGCCTTGCACTTGAAATGCCGTGGGGCTCCTGTCGTCTAGACGTGGAGACGCCAGGGTCGCCCCCCCTTGCCCAACACCTTGTGTGTGTGGAGAAGTTTACCTTACCTCACCTTACCTTAGGTGGACTCGGTGCTCGGCCAGCGGCGCGAGGGCGAGCACGACTCGACCATCCGAGTCAAGAATGAGATTCTGGTCCAGATGGACGGCGTCGCGGGCGCCGACGCCAACGAGAGCCTCCTCTTCGTCGGCGCAACCAACCGGCCGCAGCAGGTTAGCACGTGTGGCACTAGCAGAAGCTGCAGCTCCGCGGTACAGACCCGACCTGTGAGCTATGGTCGCCGTTCTGCGTTCACATCCACCACACCTTGGACTCACCCCTCACCCCTCGCCCTTCACCCCAGCCCTCACCCTCACCCTCGCCCCCTCCGCCCTAGCTCGATGACGCGGCCCGCCGCCGCCTCTCCAAGCGGCTGCTCATCCCGCTGCCAGACGCGGCCGGGCGACGCGAGATGCTCACGCGCGGCCTCGCGGACCTGGTGCACGCGATCGGCGAGGCCGACATCGGCTCGCTCCTCGAGGCGACCGACGGCTACTCGGGCTCCGACATGGCGGCGCTGTGCCGTGAAGCAGCGATGGGGCCATGCCGCGATCCGGGCTTCGAGGCGGCGCTGCTCAGCGGGGTGCACTCGAGCGAGATGCGCCCGATCCGCCTCTCGGACTTCGAGGACGCTCTCGGCGCGATCCGCGCGAGCGTCGGGCCGGGCGAGCTGGCCGCCTTCGAGGAGTGGAACCGGAACTTCGGCTCCTTCCAAAGCCAGGCGGCCAAGCGGCAGGCGATGGGGGGCGTCTCGGGCGGCGGCGGCAGCACTTGAGGCCACGAGCCACGAAGGGGAGCACGACCGTGGCGGGGAGCTCGTCGTGCGGGCTCGCGCGAGTTCACGCGCACGGTGGCCGCACTGGCCGAGCGGCCGAGGACCCGCGGGGGGTGTGGTGCGTGCGCGCGGGGTCTCGGGCCAGTGGAGACGCACTCCCACTCGCAGCCGAGACGGCACACCGGGCGCGCGTTGAGCAGTCACCTTTCATGAGAAAAAATGTGATTTGTGTGGCGAGAGGCCGCGAGAGCAGGGGGGCAGGGGGCACCGAGCAGGGGGGCCAGGGCGAGGATTCGAGCCACCAAGCAGCCACACATGTGCGCCTTGGCCGAGCGTTTTTGATCTCTCGGTCAGTGGGGGGCCGAGCCGCCTCGGGGTGGCGGGCGGGCGGGCGTTTTGGAAAACAGAAAACAGAAAAGACGGTTGTCGCGTTTCATCGTCGAATTTGCCAGAATGGTAAAATGCAACTTTGGCATTCGGTAAAAGTTGGCCGATGGTTTGGGGGGGGGAAACCAACGGGGAAGGTTGGCTTCCACGAGCTAAAGGTCAACATCCGACATCCCGTCTCCGGCTACGACAATGTGAACGTGATCTGGTCCTCCACGGGGTTGACCCGTCTCCTCCAGATCGAGACGGACTTCATGAACGGCCGAGCAATATCTCTTCATTAATATTATTAATTGATGCTTTTTGCACGGCTGAGCCCCCCCCTCCCTCCCCCGCGCCCATTCCCTGCCCTCTTTCGCCACGCGCTCCGTCCGAGCCCTCTCCCCTCTTGGCACAACAGGGAATTTTGACAATTAATCACGATGGGCTTGCCCATCCCGGAGTGGTTCGATCCCACATAAATCCGAGGCGGAGAGAGAGAGAGAGAGAGAGAGAGAGAGAGAGGCGGTGAGGGGAGGCGTCCCGGCGGTCTCCAGGCCCAGTGAGGTAGTGCGCCAGACTAGCCCGGATCCTGCTGAACAAAGCTCCTCTTGTAGCTCGATCGGTCACACCGCCATCGCCGCCGACGTCTCCCAGGGAGATGATGGAGAAGGGGGGACGACACTGCTCGATCTACCCTCTGGGGGGTCCCTCAGCAGCGTGCACCTCGATCCTGTACCGTGTTTGTTATGACCCCCGCCCCCCAATGAACACACCAGTGAGGGAGGGCGAGACGATCGAGGGGTCCCGTACCATGCGGAATCGACCCTATCAAGTGCTCACGTGCTCGAGTTCTTGGTTGGAGTAAAAAAGAAGAAAAAGTTGGACAAATCTCTAACTAATCGACCCTATCAAGTGCTCAAGTGCTCGAGTTCTTGGTTGGAGTAAAAAAAATTCTTGAAATACAAGCCTCTCTCACAGCACACTGGCACGACAAGGGCGCTGGTAGGTTGGTAGAAAGGTAAGAACCTAGCGCGGTAAAAAGAAGAGAAAAATTTGAGCGATGTCCAACCATGCCTGGGACAGCGTCGCCGAGGCCTACGCCGAGCGGGTCGAGCCCTTCACCTCCCAATTCGCCGCTCCTCTGCTCGACGCGGCGTGCGAGGCGCTCGGCGGCGTGGCTCTGACGGGCGCGCACGTGCTCGACGTGGCGGCCGGCAGCGGTGCGGTTGCGCTCGAGGCGCTTCGGCGTGGAGCGAAAGTGACCGCGACCGACGGCTCGGGCGAGATGCTGCGTGTGGCTTCGGAACGGGCGAGTGCGGCGGGCCACGAGCTGGCGACGCGGGTGGCAGAGGGCACCGCTCTCCCGCTCGACCTTGCGGGTGGGTCGCTCCTCGCGACGTCTGGCTTTGGCGTCATCTTCTTTCCGGACGTGGCGGCCGGGCTCGCCGACTGCGCCGCGGTGGCTCCCGACCGTGAACAGCGTCTCCTCACTCGCACCACAGCGTGCACAGGATCGCCGAGCTGAGCCGCTGCGTGCGGCCCGGCGGCGCCATCGCCTTCTCCGCCTGGGGCTCGGCCGAAGAGACGGCCGCGTTCCAGCTCATCCCGACCGTGGCGAGGGAGACGCTCGGGGAGGAGGCGACGGCGCCTCCCGCCGGCGCGGCGCGGCGCATCGACGGGTCTCCCGCGGTGCTCTCCGCGCTGCTGCGCGCCGCCGGCCTCGAGCCGCACGTGCGCGGTCCCGTCACCCGCACGCTGACCTGCGGCAGCGCAGAGGCGTTTTGGGAGCGGTTCGCTCTGGGAGCGCCCGGCACGCGCGCGCTACTCGCACGCCTCGGCGAGGAGCGAGGCCGCGCTGCTGCGGGCCGGTAGCTCCCTCGTGCCGACGAGGCGGGTGATGCATGCATCAGGCGACGAGCGGGCCGCGCTGCTGCGTTCCGCTGTCCTCTCTGCCCTCGACCAGCGGTTCGGAGGCGGCGAGGTCCGGCTCGAGGCGAGCGCGTACCTCGCCGTCGGAGTCGCGCCGAGGGCCCTCCCGCCGCTCTTTGTCGGTCCGGCTGGCTTCGCAGCGGTCAGCGGCCACTGGGCGGGCCCCTTCTTCGCCCCTGGAGCGAGGCGAGCCAAGGGCGACGCGGCGCTCGACTTTCTTCAGGAGCGGTCGAGAGGAGGGGAGGCGAGAGGAGAGGAGGCGAGGGGAGAGGAGGCGAGAAGAGAGGCGGCGAGCAGAGAGGAGAGGAGGCGAGAAGAGGAGGCGAGAAGAGAAGAGTCGGGCGAGAAGAGACGGCACCCTCTCCCCTCCTCCTCCTGCTCCTCTCCCGCACCCTCTCCTGCCAGGAGCGCTTCTGCGCGGTCGAGATCAACTCCACGGCGTACGCGCTGCCCTCGCCCGCCACCGTTGCTGCGTGGCGCGCCCGCTCCGGCCGCGGCTTCCGCTGCTGCCTGAAGGCGCCCGCAGCTTTCACACACGCGGCGAACCCGCGCGACCCGTCTGCTCTCGGCGCGCTGACGGCCTTTCTCGCGCGTGCGCTCTCCCTCGGCGCCCCCCTCGGCCCGCTCCTGCTGCAGTTCCCGCGCTCCGTCGTCGCCGACGCCGCCCTCCTCGAAGACATCGCCGCTGCCGTCGAGGAGGCGGAGCAGGGCGCCGCAAGCGCGCTCGCCGCCGCGCCAGCCGCCGCCCCCGCAGCATCGCCGGCCACGTCGCCCGCCGCGTCGCCCGCCTTGCGAGTCGCGCTCGAGGTGCGCCACGCCTCGTGGCTCGACCCGCAGCGCGGCCTGGCCGACTGGCTCCGGCGGCGCGGCTGGGCGCTCGTGGCGCACCCGGACAGCATGGGGCGCGCGACTGTGGAGCAGGGCGCGAGGGGCGAGGCGCGCAGCGAGTACCCTCCCTCCGACCTTGACCGGCATTGGCCCCAGACGGCGCCGTTTGCGTACGTGCGGCTACACGGCGGGTGCGACGACCACGCCTACGACTACGGCGAGGACGAGTTGCGCCGGCTGGCGGCGGTGGTCCACGGCTGGCGCATGCGCGGGATCGAGGTCTGGGCGTTTGTGCTCAACGACTCGGAACAGGCCGCCATGCCGCGCAACGCCGAGGCGCTCAAGCGCCTGGCGCACGAGATAGCCGGCGAGCCCGTGCCTCGCCCGCCAAAGGCGGCCGCGGCCACTCTCGCAGGCTTCTTCCGCGCCAGCCCCTCGTCGAAGAGACAGAAGAGCTAGGGGGGCGGCCGGGGGGAAGGCGTCCGCAACAGACACTCAGACAGATCCCGACGCAGTGCTCAGTGGTGCTACTGTTTTTTTCGTATTACGGCTCAATTTCGCTTTTCGGCTTTCCGTATCTCAATCTCGAATCTGCGAAAATGAAGAAAGTGAGAACACTCCGTGAAAAATAGAGCTCCCCGAAACTGCCGACACGCCTCACGACAGGTGCGCACCCCGCCCCGTGAGTGTGAGACTATGCGAGACTGCGGCGAGAGAGCACATTGCAGCGCTAGAGCACTTAGTTGAGCACACTCACTTTTGCGACTTGGTCTTGGAGCACTCTTGAGTGCAGTCACATGATACGGCTTTACATGAACTATTGCCAGAAGAGATCTCAACCCGACGAGAGTGGGCGGGCAGTCCCCGTGGCTGCAGTCGCGCTTCCGAGCCGACTCCGCCCCTCTCTCCACCCGGCCATTCCAACGGCCAGGCCGCTCGCTTAAGGCTGATTGGCTAGACGAGCGGCCTCAACGGGCGGAACGGGGTAGTCTGGCAACGCGTGGATCCGGCCCGCCTCGGCGGGTTACGGTTTAGCGCGACGACCGGGGGAGCTCTGATCGCCGTACTCACCGGGACGCTGAGCAACACACAGCGCTCACACAAAATAAAATCACAGAGTCACAGTGGGCGGAAACTTTTCAATGTATGTGGCTCTTACGTACATTCCCGGAGGAGGACTGCTTTTCATGCTCCTTCTCTCTCTCTCGAGGTTTATACCAGATTGCGCTGGGGATTTTTTCCGCTATTGTGTCATCGGGCGAGAAAGTTTGATTTTGCCGGGCGCCAGGCTATCACCCATCGGGAGCGGTTTCAACACAATTCTCCTTGTGTTGAATCTCCTCTTTATTTCGCGTTTTTCGGGACCTCTCGGATGCGCGCTCGCTCGCGCGATGAAGATGCCAAAATATCATTCAGAGCAACGAGCTGCTGAGGGCCCAGGGAGCAGGCCTCGGAGTCGCCACGCCCGCGCATAGCATTTGTTTGGCTTAGCGCGAAGAGGTGTGCTGTGCTCCGCGTGTGCGTGGGCGATAGGGTGCCGCCCTCCACCGGCACCGAAGCTGAGTGCACCGGCACTCCTCGCTCCCTCCATATTCCACCTGACAGCTATGCATTCAGCACTGGAAGGCCTGGCGCCGGCGTGGTCGCCATGCCGCCCACCTTTTGGGTGAATGGTGCATTCTGCATATTGCCGAGCGCGTAGCGGCCGCTAGGCCGGCCACCTACAGGAAACGCACGGTCAGATACAACCCGCACGCTGAGGTGTGGATACAGGCTCGGCTCCCTCCCCACCCACATCTGAGACCGGCGGGAGCCCCGTGCAAAGTACTGAGCCGCCAGTGCAGCTGTTGGTGAGAGCTTGTGTCTGTGCAGCTATTGCCTCCAGCGGGCGGGTAGGCCGAGGAGGTGAGCCGGTTCTCGTCGAGCAGCTTCGCGTCCCGCTTGTGCTCCTCCTCGGCCGCACTGCAGCAGCACTGCGCGAGTATGAACAAAATGACAATCGCCTGCGATGAGGGGGCGAGACGAGGGCGTGTCGTGTGGGTGGCTCGCAGCAGGTGGAGAGAGGTCCAGGCCGCCGCGGCGGCGTGCGGGGTAGCCGGGCTCTCTCGCCGCCTCCCTAGCACCACGGGGTGTCTCACCGTCTCGGTTGCCATTAAGCCAAAGCCGAGGAAAATGCCGTACATCCTGGCTTCCTCCTTGGCGGGGGGGGGGGGGGGGATGGAGGTAGCAGGCATTATGGAATGACAGCAAGGCGGTCGAGTCATGTCAGGAGGGAGAGGCGGCAGGGAGAGCGTCAAGGGCGGCAGTGGGAGCCTTCTTCGGGTTGAGGTTCTCCTCGGGAATTTCGCTCTTGGAAACTCCTGCCATCCAGTCCTACGACATAGCAACGTGCAATGCGTGATACGACGTCGCGCGGAATTTCACTCCGAGCGGCGGCTCCAGCCTGCACGTGTCCCGACGTGTCGGCGAGGGTGTGGGTGTGGCCAAATCTGGGCGGCGGCGGAGGCGGCGGCGAAGGCGGCAAGCCCGGCGGGGGCGGCGGCGGTGGAGGTGGCGGAGGCAGCGGCGGATTGCTAGGCGGCGGCGAGGGCGAGGGTGGCGGAGGAGCTGGAGGCGGCGGACTAGGAGGTGGCGGCGGAGGAGGCGGCGACGGAGGTGGGGCGGGCGGCGACGGCGGTCCCGCTGGTCCTCCTCCGCCCCACGGGTTGAAGTCCCAGATCCCTCGCTCTGTCCCAGCCGGCGCGTCTGTCACGGCTGGCGCCGCGATTGGCGCGACGAACGCGCTGAGCGCGAGCGGAAGAGACATTTGGACGTCGGCCGTCCCCGATCATGGCTTACCGTCAGCAATTCTTGTCCCCTCTTCCGAATTCCCTCTTCCTGAACTCCTCGCTCGACCGCGCCGCGATCGTCGACGCGCGTCTGCAGGGCGCCCGCATCATCGCGACCTCCTTCGATAACGCACGAGACCTAGCCGAGACACAGCCGAGAGATCCAGCCGAGATCGCGATCTCACGAGACCTAGCCGAGACACAGCCGAGAGATCTAGCCGAGATCGCGACCTCTGCCGACAACGCACGAGCAGCCGTGTACATGTCTGGAAGAATTAATTCATCAATTAATTTAAATTAATGAAGGTCAACCTGAACGGGCCGTGCGACATGTCTGGCATCTATTGCAACACATCGCCAACTCGACCTTCCGCGGGGGCCTTCTTCCCGGGGGGCGCGCTCTTCCACAAGGCGCACGCCGTTATTATTTATTATTTATTATTATACATTATATTATTCGGCGCGCTCTTCCACAAGGCGCACGCCGTTGGGTGCGACTTCTCGAAGGCGAGACGAGGCCCCTAGCCGAGATCGAGATATCGCCGAGGTACATGGTCTCTGGCCGAGAAAGAGCCGAGACGGGTCAAAGGCGCACTGCTCTGGGGCCTTGCCAGGAAATGTGCTGTGGGGCCGCATGCGATAGAGCGGCGCGTGGTCAAGCTTCCACCTCCCCGTAGGCGCACCTCGCCGAGTTTGCGAACGCGAATCTGTTCGGCACGTCCTTCCGCGGCGCCACCATCACCGACTCCATCTTCGACCACGCGAACATCGACCGCGCCGACTTTCGCGGCGTCGTGGGCTTTGAGAAGGCGTCCTTCCTCATGGTGCAAGGCGTCCCCGTCACGGATGCCTTTGGGAACGCCGTCCTTGCCACGGGCGCGATTGCCGGTTAGACGTCCCTCGTCCGGTTTTCCGGAGTCTCCCCACTCTCCGTCTCCCGCCCCCCCCGGTGGATGGGCTAATAACACACCACAGCAAGACATAGTGGTGTTTGAGAATTGGAGAATGGTCTTCTACACCGAGACCGTGCGTTCTGACTTCTGTCTCTAGAGGGCAGACAGCGCCCCAAAATCCACCTGTGTGCACACCATGTCGCACTAGATGTCGCATGGGCTGTTCCCGGCTCGCGTTACACAATTTGTTTTCGGTCATTGCGCCATTCGGTACCTCTCGGTGCCTTCCAGAGGCAGTTGCGGCCCCCTGCCGAGTGAACGGTGGCACTCGGCAGGTGGCTGACTGGCTGTGGTGAGATTTGCCCGGATTTCGCGCGATCGCTTCTTGACTCTGAAAGCAGAAAGGCTTCTTAAGGGAACGGAGAGCAGGAGACCGTGCGACCGGCGGACCACACGACAACCCAACCAACTCTACAAACACAGCCACGTGTACGCACTAGACATATCAATCATCACCGTCGAGGACCTCGGTCCTCAGCCCCCGCCCACGGCGCTGAGAGGGTGAGGCGGTTCAAGCCGCCGGCGCCGTCGAGGGCAGGCGCACGGGGAACTTCTCGCCGTGGCGGAGGTACACGTCTGGGTCCTCAGTGCTCCGCTTCAGCCACGGCTGGTCGGGGACGGGCACAAAGGACGCGGCCGGCTTTGCGCGGAACGGGCACTCGCCAGCCTTCGCCTTCTGCTTGCGGTCCTGCACCGCCTTCGGGTACTCGGAATCGATCCACAGGGCGCGCCACTCCTTGACAGGCATCGTCCACGAGCGGGCCATCGCCTCGTGCTTGTTCTTTGGCGGCGCGGAGTGGATCGACTCACACTGGTCCGCCGGGTAGCCGAACTCCACGAAGAGCGCCTTGACGGCCGCCTCGAGGTTGCCGTCGTCCGTCGGCCGCTTCGCAAACTGCCCGGGCACGATGTAGTTGTCCTTCTCGCCGCCCTGGAGGTACTCGATCTGTTTCGGGCCCGGGAAGCGGTCGTTCGTGATCTCGGCGTAGAGAGACTGCAGCGTCTGCTGGTTGTCGATGTTGAACCAGTGCACGGCGTTATCGACCTCGGGCGTCTCCCGCTGCAGAAAGTTGGGGTTCCAGGTGTGGTGCAGGACGGCGTCATCAGGCGGCTTGCCGTTCAGGCAGTTTGCGCCGCAGCGGTTGAGGGGGAAGCCGAGGCAGACGTTCCGCGAGATGCAGGGCGCGTTGTAAGTGGGCGCCTTCTTCGCGTCCCCGTTCTCTCGACTCTGGAATGCGAAGTTGAGAAACTCGTTCATCTGCTGCTTGGACGGCGTGATGTCCCTCTTGACCTGGCAGGTGTTCTCGCCGCAGAACTGCTCCTTGAACGGGAAGGCGCTGAGCACGCAGTTCCAGAAGCCCGCGAAGCCGCCGGTCTTGAGGCGGAAGTCGCGGATGCCGGTCGACTTGGAGTGCTCCATGTTGTTGTACGGGTTCGGATTGACGATGCCTTGCGGCTCGAGCGTGCAGCAGTTGAAGGGGCTGCTGGTGTACCACTGCTTGTTGGTCACATTCATGAAGTAGACGTTGATGTGGAGCTCGTCGAGGAAAGCGTCGACGTCACACTGGGAGTACTCCTTCCCGTCCTTGGTCCCGCAGACTGGCAGCCCGTTGGGCACCATGCCGCATTCTCTGTCCTCCTTAGCGCACTTGCGGGGCCCCGTCCACTTGTTGCCCTGCCACTCCTCGCCCCACGAGCCAGGGAACCCAGCGTGCTTCCAGTTGGCGGGCTCATTCCCACCCAGGTAGTTGAAGTTGGCGGCGGTCGCAGCAGCGCCGACATCCTTGACGCCAATCGTTGCGAAGGCATCTTTGCACTGCTTCTGCGTGATGTGACCGGTCTGCGGGTCGGGAACGAGGTCGCCATTCTTGACCAGCGCCGCGAGGGCCGGGCAGGTGATGCGCTCCCACAACGGCTCGCCGACCCACTTACCCAGCGAGTCGTCGTAGTGGCCGAGCGGCTTGCCGTCCTCGGTCGTGTAGGGAGCGTCGTACCTCGTGACGGGCTTCTTCGCCGTGGCGCCACGGGCCGCGGCGGCGCCGCGGGCCTGGACCTTGCGTTCGGTGATGTAGCCCCGCGAGGGCTTGGCGCACGTGGGTGGCGTGAGAGGAGCGGACATGGCGGAGTGAGCTTGATGGCGACACGCTATCTCCTTCCTTTGGTTTTGCAGGACTAAGGCCCTGATCATCGTCATTGCAATTCGGGCGCGGCCTCTCAGCCCCCAGTTACATGTACCTCGCCAAAAAGAACCGAGCGAAACCAGCGTCGCTGCAAGAAGAAAAAAATGCGTGAGGCTTGGGGAACGGAACGGCACTGTCGCTGGTCTGGTGGGTGCCAGCTCGACTCTGGGGGGACAATAGTAACTTTTTGAAGACTGCTCGGCACGGCGGTTTTCTTTCTTGCGATTCGGCATATGCATATATGTCTGCCAATCCGCGGCGCCGCTCTCGCCGCCTCGCCGCCGCCGCTGCCCCCTCGCCAGACACGCCGCCGCCCGCCCGCCTCCTCGACCTCCCCACGGACCTCCTCGAACGCGTCCTCGCTCGCTGCGACAGCCCCATCGACATCGCTCGCGTCGCGGCCGTCTCGCTCCTCTTCCACGCCTCGCTCGCGGCGGAGGCCATCCGCTTGTGGGCGCAAGAGCGCGGCTTCGAGCTGCCGGCGCAGCCAGAGGACGAGGGCTGCGCCGTGCGGTGGCTGTGCTTCGCTGCGTTGCTGTGCGAGTCCAACCCGCCGGTGAGGGCGGCGGCAGGCGGACGGCACAGCGTCTTCATCGTCGGCGAGGGGCGGCTCGCGTCGTGCGGCAATGCGCCGGCTCACGTCCCAGGCCTCCTTGGCCACGGCGAGGGCGTGGCGCGGCTCATCACGCCGACCCGCCTCCCCTCTACATCGCTGGGAGGCGAGCGCGCCGTGAGCGTCTCGGCTGGAGCATTCCACAACCTCGCCCTCACCAGCAGCGGCGCCGTTTGGAGCTGGGGCCAGGGAGGCTTGGGCGCGCTGGGCCACGGCGACGACGATGACGACGACGACGAGCAGGACGAATGCCAGCCGAAGAAGGTGGAGGCCTTCGCCGAATCGCGCGTCGTCGCTGTCTCGGCTAGATATGAGCACAGCCTCGCCATCACCGCCGACGGCGCCGCCTGGAGCTGGGGCAATGGAGCCTGGGGCCGGTTGGGCCACGGCGACACACAGACCCAGCCGCTACCGAAGAAGGTCGAGGCCTTTGCGGGAAAGCGCGTCGTCGCTGTGTCGGCTGGAACAACCCACTGCCTCGCCATCACCGCCGACGGCGCCGTCTGGAGCTGGGGGCGGTGGAGCCTCTGGCCGGCTGGGTCACGGCGACACGCGGGACCAGTGGCAGCCCAAGAAGATCGAGGCCTTGGCTGGCCAGCGCGTCGTCGCTGTGTCTGCTGGGCAGCGCCACAGCCTCGCTCTCGCCGCCAACGGCAGTGTCTGGAGCTGGGGCGATGGAGACTTCGGCAAGCTGGCCCACGGCGACGAGCAGATCCAGCCGCTGCCCAAGAAGGTCGAGGCCTTTGCTGGGCAGCGCGTCATCGCTGTGTCGGCTGGAGAGCGGCACGGCCTCGCCATCACTGCCGACGGCAGTGTCTGGAGCTGGGGCGGTGGAGGGGATGGCAAGCTAGGCCACGGCAATCGGCAGTACCAGCCGCTGCCCAAGAAGGTCGAGGCCTTGGCTGGCCAGCGCGTCGTCGCTGTGTCGGCGGGAGAGCGGCACAGCCTCGCCCTCACCGCCGACGGCACCGTCTTCACGTGGGGCAAGGGCGGCCACGGCTGCCTAGGACATGGAGAGGACCTGTCGGACCAGCTGCTGCCCAAGAAGATCGAGGCGTGGGCGGCAGGTCGGTGACACGGCTGTCACCTGTGGTGTCCTCGCCGCACCTCGCAAGGTGTGTCGCCAGAGGCGCGTCGGCTCAATGTGCGACCCCTTTGACTCTCCCCCTCTGAGGCTGACCGCGCTGAGAAAAAGTCACTGTACACAGTACACACTGAGAAGCGGTGTGAGCGACATGTGACCTCCTGTGGGTTGTAGAGTCTAGAGAGAGCTCACACATGTTGTACACAACGCCGGCGCCCCACCGCGCGACCCGACTACCGAGACACCTCCCCCTTTTACTGCCTCACGCCGGTGTACGGGAGCCGGCGCGGGGTGCGGGGAGGGATGGGGGCGGGGCCCTCTCTCCCACTCGCACTCGCTCCGCCGTCCGCGCTCTCTCGAGTCGGACGCGATCGCCATTATCAAGGCGCACCCCTTCTACCACACCACCCACGGAGCTGAACCCACACTGGGTTCGAGACTCTGGAGGTGTGGTAAGTACTAGGCGCACGCCTTCTTCCGCGGCCTCAACTGGCGGATGCTGGAACTGCGCCGACTCGAGCCGCCGCTGCTGCCCGCGCTCGCCGACGGCGCTCTCGACGTCTCCAACTTCGACTCAAAGTACGGCCACTGCACCATACCTCCAGGGTCTCAAACCCAGTGTGGGTTGAGGTCGTTGGGTGGTGCGGTACTAGGTACACCCTCGAGCGGCCCGAGATGTCGCCGCCGCGCAAGCCGCTCTCGAGCGCGATGGAGGAGCGCCGCACGCACGCACGCACGCACGCACGCACCCACGCACGCACGCACGCACGCACGCACGCACACACATCGCCCACCGCTCATCCTCGGCCTTGCATCGTCAATGCCGTGGGCCTCGTGGCCTGGGGACGTGGCGATGTGCGAGGGGCTGCTCCCCCCCCCCCCCCTCCCCCCCTCCCCCCGCCCCGCCTCGTTGTGTGTGGAGGCGTCCCCCCTTCCCCATACCCCGCCCCGAGACGCGAGACTCGGTCCGCGCCTCCGTCCGCTCCTCCAACGCCTCCTCCGTCGGCAGCGCTCGCTCCTCCCGCCGCTCGCCCACTGCGTCGGGCGCCGATTCGTCGCTCTTGCGTTTCGCCCCGCGGCCGCCACAGAGAGGTAGCGGGGACTGCGCGGCACAGCGCTAGTCGCACTCGCAGAGGCGCAGCTCGGCAAGCACGAATATAGAGTGATTGTTAAGAGATATACGTAGCGTTACAGTCGTACGGTCGTTGACCCTCCCACCGTGTGGCCTGGGCCGCCCGGACCCCAGAGCTGCGCACGTGCAGACAGCGTTGCGCGAGCGTTGGAGAGGCCAGCCTCCGGTTTCTCAGCGTGTCGCGAGTGCTGTGTCTCTATCTGCCTGGTGGATGGGTGTGGCGGGGGACTCCTGGTGGCTTTTCGTTACAAATTTAACGGAATTACGGATTTACGGATCGACCCCCCCCTCCCTCCCCGTCCCGCGGCCCGGCCGTGAGACGCCGATCTACTAGATGCCATCTACGAATCAAGTTGGTGCATCGCCCGACGCGTCCTACTGACGTACGGGGGGCCAGCCGCGTGCGGTTTGAACATGCTCTTGTTAAATTAAACCCCGCGGCAGCGCCTTCGCGGGACTGGGCCTCAAGAGATCGGCCGGAGACACACGTACACTTGTGACTGTGCGAAATGCGCGCGCGTGTGGGCGAGCCGAGCTCGCGCTACATGGGCCTTGAGGTCAATCTGTGCGGGCTGGGTGTCAGTGAGAGAGAAGGAACGGCTGCCGCGAGGCTCGGCGCCCGTCTTGCCTCACACGAAGCAGCTCCACACTCCGATGCCCGCGAGCGCGACGCCGAGCGCGGTGATGCCGCGCGCGGCGAGGAGCTCGAGCTTGTCACTGCGAGAGGCGCCGCCCGCGCGGACCCGCCGCGCGAGAGTCTGGCCGAGCATGAGGCTCGGCAGCACGTAGCCGATCGAGGTGGAGACGAGGGCGCCGGTGACGGCGGCGATGAGGCCGAGGTTGGTCAGCGAGATGGCGATGGCGGTGGTGAGGGCGAAGATGCCAAAGGTCGTCGGCACGCGCGCCGGCGCCTTCCCGAAGACCGACGCGAGCAGCGCCTGCGCCGAATCACGCAAACCGACGTGGATGAAGGGGTACGTGAAGACGATCTGCGAGCCGATGGCGACGCGCGCGAGCTGCGCGAGGCGGTCGGTCGGCGCGTAGTTGTTGAGGATGAAGCCGTCGCACGCGCCTCCAAAGGTGAGGAACCCGGCCGCCATGACGACGGCGGTCAGGGCGGCGGAGAGCGCGAAGCCTCCGGCCTAGGAGAGAGCGCCGTGCGTCGGGAAGGCAGGAGCTGTCAGCACGAGAGGGGCCAGAGGCGTCCCGCCGTCAGCAGCGAGAAGCGGCGCATCTTGCGCTCCTACTCATTCGATGGTTAGATCATCGGCGGTGAGCGACTAGCGAGGAGGAGCGGCGCGCGTCGTTCGTTCCTTGGCGGGCGCTGCGCCGGCGCCGGGCGCGAGCTCCTTGTAGAAGTTGGGCGCGACAAAGTGGCAGAGGAAGGCGGAGGCGAGGATCGAGACGAGTACGAACACCTTCCCGCCGAGCACGAGTGACTCGGCTACTGGTGGCGGGGCTACTGGTGGCGGGGCTACTGGTGGCGTGGTGGCGGAGCGGGAGGGCGTTGATTGCACACGAGCGCGTCGGGCGGGCGGTTGGACACCGAGCGGTTGAAAGGTCCATGACCGCCAAACACAGTGGAGGGCATGGCTACGTTGTGGCGGAGCAGGGCGGAGGGCTGGGGAGGACGGCCGCCTTGGGCGAGAAGGCGAGAGCGCCCTCGAAGCGCGGCCGCAGCGGCGGAGGCACCGCGGCGTGCAGCGCCGAGCCGGGCCCGTAGGAGGACATGCGGAGGACCATGAAGGCGGCGGTGTAGAGCAGTCCGGCGACGCCGAGCGCCGACGTGAAGGAGAGCGCCGAGAGCGAGGGCAGCAGCGAGAGCGGCAGCGTGCCAAAGGCCGTCAGGGCGGCGATGGCGCCCGTCCGACTCGCGAGCAGCGCAGGGAGGCCCCACGCCTGTTCACAGATGTGGGGGTGTGAAGAGGGGGGGGGGGGGGGACCAGCAGCGAGGAGGGGCGTCGCGCCGAGAAGATGGAGGAGAAGGAGTCGCCGATCACCATGGTGTACTGGATGCTGACCGAGAGCGTGAGCAGGCCGATGAGGGCCGGAGGCACCCACGACGACTTCTCGCCCACCTACGACGACGCTTCCGAGAGGGTGCCGAGGCGGCTCGGGCCACGGGCGCCCGCGACGACTGGCATCGGGCCGACTTGGACCAGGCCTCGCCCCAGGAGGAGGAGTCGGTGGCGGCGCAGACGCGGGCCACCATCGAGAAGCAGTAACCGGACACGGTGCCGGCGACGGAGAGGAGAGCGAGCGCCGGGACAAGGGCCGCGCGCGAGGAGCTGAAGGCGGCGAGGCCGACCGGTAGCGAGAGCACGCCCGAGCCGACGATGGACTTGACTAGGTTGGCAGTGGAGGAGGGAAGCGAAGCCTGGCCTTCGTCGGTCGCAGACACGGCGAGTATGGCGGTGGAGCGGAGGCCGTCCGCACGCCGCGTCGATATTGCGGGCTTGGCGACCTGCAGGGCACTCGCGCCGTGCAGGGCTAGGAGGGCGAGGGAGCAACTGCGCAGCATGGCCTGCAGATCGGCCGCGTCGTTGCTGGGAAAGAAGAAATCCCGGGCCGACGGGGGAGATGCAGGGGAGAGAGAGACAGAGAGAGGGGGGGGAAAGGGTGGCGAGAGAGGGTGAGAGACTCTCCCTCTCCTGTGCCCCCCCTTCCTCTGACTCTCCCTCTCCCCCTGCTTCTAGTTTCCTATGAACTCGGTCCCCCCACGGAAGAGGCCTCGCTCCTATTGGAACAAGCCAACATCAGATTTGCTTGTGCGTCCCTTTTTGAGCCGGAAAGCTGGGTTCTTTTGGGTCCTGTGCGCTGTGGGCACCCTTCCTACCCTTGGTCGTCTGCCTCTTCCTATCTCTCTTGGCAGTCCCTCTCCGATTCTCGCTGCACCTTCATGCCACCTCGCGGTCGTCCCACTCTCGTCGCTCTCCCTCCTGTCGTTTCCTCCTCTGTCGCGGCCTGAAGGGAGGCTTGGGCCCGCGTTGCGTTTTTTCCTTACTTTCCGTTGAGAGGGCGCGGGCAATAAACGGCAGCAGCACACCGCGCATCGTTCCTCAGCAGGCGTGCCTCGTGAGAGTTCGTAGGAGTGGTGAAGGCCCCCTCACCCTAGCTGGGCCGACTGCCTGGGCACCACACAGAGCGCGCGCGCACACGCGCCACCTTGCGAAATTCTCACCAAACGCGCATCGCATTGTGCCAGGTGCGCAGCTCTGGGCAGCCTTCTCCTCCGCCACCCGCACCAAGCTGAGGCGCGCGCCCCCGCCCTCTCCACGTACGCCCACCGTGCATCCCCCCGTATGTAGCCGAGGTCCAGCTTTGGGACCTCGGCGCCGGCCGCTCGCGCTGAGCACGAGCACACCCGCCTCCTCTCCCCTGTCCCCGGCAGGGCTCTCGCGACCCAGCCCTCCTTCGGAGGCGCGGCACCCACCCCTACCTGTGGCCCATACAGCATCCGGCCCTCTCCCCCCTTCTCCGCCCTGCGCGCGGCATTGCAAGCAAGACCGCTGGTGGCGCCCTGCGTGCCCTGCCCTAGCTGCCGTCTCTGTGCCTGGCCCGGGCTTTACGGCCCTTTCCCTGCGAACGCGCACCCCCGGGGCTAGGGCTTTCTTGCCCGCAACCCGATCCCGATCATCCGGCCCGCTGGGTGCGCTTCTTAGCTCCCCGGCCCTGGATGTGAGGCTAATGACTGCACTCCAAGTGCTCCAAGTGCGCATGCGCTTCTTTTTTGCGCTTCTTAGCTCCCCGGCCCTGGGCGTGAGGCTGCTGACCGCACTCCAAGTGATCCAAGTGCCCCGAGTCAACGAGACTGCCCCACACAGCAGGCTGGAAGTACCTCGCCAGGCGCGGCCCGAGGTTTGGCCGCGTCGTCCGCGTCAGTAGCGAGGCCTCAACGCGGACCGAACAAACCGAGACACACAGACCACCGACACACCCAACAAAATCGGAGCGCGCGGCTCGTAACCAGAATGCACGGTGGCAAGTGTGCTTTCTCTCTCCATGCGCCAGAGTCGAGCGTCGTCACTCCGTCTTGCCGGCCGGCTTGTCCCACTTGTGGTTGTTCTTCGAGAACTTCGCAATGTCGCCGCCAAAGAGCGCCTTGAGGAAGGAGGCGATCCAGCTTGCCTGCAGCATGACGGGGACGAGGAAGACGCTGATCAGCGGCGCCGCGAAGAAGGGTGACTCGATGCACGTCCAGTCGGGCAGGCCGAAGAGGCAGTACGGGAAGAAGGCGAGGAAGAGGGCAAAGATGACGCCCGCCTAGATGCGGGGGGTGTCACGGGTCGCTGGTGGGTGCGAGGATGGGTGCGAGGGGGAAAGGCGGGGGAGAGCGCGAGGACGACGCCTGGTACGCGAGGTCGATCATCGCCCACTTGTGGAGATCCTTCCACGCGAGCTCCTTGGTCCCGCTCGCCTCGACGAGGCACAGGCACTTATACGCGACAAAATCCTGGCCCGCCTGCATAGTGCCCACGGCTAGCACGATGAGGTTGATGTCCTTGAAGAAGTCCTGGCTGTCGGTGGTGCCGCCGGGCACGGCCTTCTCGGGAGGCAGGCCAAAGGCTCCGAGTCCGAGCCCGAAGGCTTGCGAGCCGGTCTGGTATACGCCGACCGTGAGCCAGAAGGAGACCGAGAAGAGCGAGAGGTATTTAAGCGGCGTCGCCGTCCACGGCGGCATAAATCTGTACCGGCAGAGCCAGAATCCCATGCACATCGCCACGAGTGTGTTGATGGCGAACGGGATGATGTAGGAGACCTGCAGCCGCCAGTCGGAAGCCGGCGGCGCCAGCTTCCAGTCGGTGACGTCGAGCATGATTGCGTGGTAGTTGAGCAAGCAGCCTGAGGAGCGCGCGGGATGGGCTGAACTCTCTACGTGTAAACACGGCGCGGGCGCGGCGCGGGCAGACCGATGAAGACATAGTGCGGGGCGATCAGGTAGGAGAGGATTCGGCCCAGAGCGACGTGGAAGGAGTCGCCCTTGACCTTGCGCAGCATCTGTACCATGACGATCGCAAGGAGAATGACGGCGCAGTAAACGTGGAAGTCAGACAGGAACTTCACGTACGGGTCAAGCAGCGGGTACCGGGCGATGATTGAGACTGGCACCTCGGGGTTTTCGCCGCGAATGTTTTTGGCAATTTGCTCGCTCATCCTGGCGCCTCCGCATGTGATGGGCGGCGTCTTGCCGCCCACATTGAGCCGCGACCAGGCTACCGCCGATCCGGCCTGCAGCGAGAAGAAGACGCCGAGCGTGCCGCGCAGCATGTGTGGGCTTGGGCTTCACGGACGTCTCCGGCAATCGCTGGCGGCCGGGCCCCGTACCCCCCTACTCGAGTACCGAGGTCTCGTGCTTGGGGACAAAGTACAGGTCAGCCGAATTTAAGATTTGAAGGCGGGGCGGCCGTGAGCTGTAAAATCTTGAAAATGTGTGAATTTACAGCTAAAATCTTGCGAAAATGCGCTCCAGAGCTCTAAAATCTTGGTCTAAAATCTGAAAATCGCCGGCCTGCGGCCGGCCTCTAAAATCTTAAATTCGGCGGACTTGTAGTGTGCATCCACCCATTATTGTGTGTACTAACACACACACACGAGAAAGCAACTCCTCGCAGTAGGTGGGCGCCTTTGCTGTAAATCTTCGAACGAAGCATGGAGCATGGGGGCAAGGATTCGCCGTTCCTGCGATCTTACGCAACGCCGGTGCCGGTACCCGTGGTAGGTATGCCATCACAGTGACAGTCACATCAATCAACGTCGCAAAGGCGGTACGTGTTGGACACTAGGTCCTGCTGCGAGCACCACCAGCCCACGGCTGAGGACCAAACTGCTTGTCCTGAGAGAGTAGCGGAGCAGTCCCGGATGGACACCAACTTATCAGAGAGGTTCGTGCAGCTCTGCTCCCCCAGCGCGCACGTGTCGCTGCCAGTCTGCCAGGAGCCGCCAGCTCGCTTGCACACCTTCCGCGCGCCCAGGATCGAGGTGCACGCTGCCGAAGCAGTGTCGTCCCCCCTCTCCCCGACGGCGATGGCGGTGTGACCGATTGAGCTACAAGAGGAGCTTGTTCAGCAGGATCCGGGATAGTCAGATGCACTACCTCACTGGGCCTCCGCCCCGCTCAGCATTATATCAGGAGGTGCCAAAGCAGCAGCATCTCAATGAGGTGAGCGTCGTCTTCTTTCGGCCGTCCAACATAAAAATAAAACCTGGGGGGCCCAGGACCAGCCTGGACGGGGCACAAACGCCAGAGACACGGCACACGGGGAGCACGCCAACACACACGTTGTTGCTTGCGCTGCGCGGTTTTCGCGGCCGTCCTTTGACGTCCGTCCGCGCGCCGCCGCGCGCCCGTCGGGGTGGTGGGCGCCGATTCAATCCAGGCGGTTTTGGCGGAGAGGGATTTTAACGAAAGTAGTGTGGGGCCGCGGCCAGGTTTTTCTTTCCGGCCTTCAGGGGTAGGCGCCGGCCCGCCTCGACTGACACCAGGCAGACCGCCCGACCTGCGATCGCAGCCGCATGGCGCTCGCCGCCGGCGACGTCGTCCGAATCTTTGGCCTCACTTCGGAAAGGGGCCAAGAGCTGAACGGGAGAGAGGCGACCGTCGAGACTGTCGGCGAGCGGTGCACCCTCAGGCTGGAGACCGGCGGTGAGCCCTCAGACAAGCGGCTTGCTGTCCCAGAGAGGAACTTGGTCCGCGCCGGCGAGTACGACTCGGACGACGGATGGTGCGCTCAAAAGGTGGCGGCGCGACCGCGGCCGGCGGCAGCATCGTCGGCGGCAGCATCGTCGTCGGCAGCCGCAGCAGCAGCAAGCGGAGGCCCAGGGGCGGGCGCGGGCGCAGCGCCGGAAGAGGGGATGCGACGGACTAGCTGCTTCCTGAACGGCAGCTTCGTGGCGGCTTCGAGCGGCGGCTCGTCGTCGAGCTTTGAGTGCACGCTCGACTCCTCGTGGGCGGCCGGCGATCTGGTGCGCCAGCGCGTGAAGTTCATCGGACCCCAGCGCACTGGTAGCTACGGGACAGCGGTGCGGTGGGACGCCCAGGCGGCGAAGTACGCGGTGAACCTGGAGCCGACCTATCGTGGCGTGACCATCTACGAGACGCCGTGCAACCTCGAGGCGGCGGATTCCACCGTCTCGCAGGCTCACAAGCAAGACCAGCGGTGGAAGGTGGAGAAGGCGCGCGAGGAGAGGTGCGGCATCTTTGCCCTCGCGGTGGCCCTCCGGCCCGGCGTCGACAACCTCCGCGGCTTCGTGGCGATGGAGAAGTTTGACGGCTTCCGCTCGCTGTGGGACGGCACCGAGTTTCGCATGCGCGGCATCCAGGGCGGGGCGGAGCGGCGGGTGAAGCCTCCGCCGGAGCTGGCCTCCCTGCTGCCGACCGACCTCAAGCTCGACGGAGAGCTGTGGAGCGGGCGCGGCTGCTTCTCCGCCGTGAGCAAGGTCTGGTCCGACTTCGACGGGGTCTCCTTCGCGGTGTACGACGCGCCCGAAGTGGCCGGCGGCTTCCTCGCCCGCCTCGCGGCGGCAGACGAGGCGATCGCTGCCGTCGCGCGATCGCGAGGTCTCGAGCCGACGCCACCGTTCGCTCCGGCCCGTGCGCCGCCGGCGGCGCGCTGTTTCGTGGTTGGCGCGGTCCGGTGCGAGGAGGAGGCGGTCGTGAAGCGGCTGATGGAGGCGGTGCTGGCGGAGGGCGGCGAGGGGCTCGTGCTGCGGCGGGCGCTGTCGCGGCACCGAAGGGGCCGCTCCCGCGATGTGCTCAAGGTGAAGGAGTGGCTGGACGCGGAGGCGGAGGTGCTGGGCACCAACATGGGCGACGGCACCTCTGTGCGCGCCTCGCTGCGCCTCAAAGTGATCGGGAACAGCTCCGACTGCAGGGTGACTCCCGGCACGGTCTTCTCGTGCTCTTGGGACTGGAAGGCGAAGCCCATCCCCTCCGGCACCACCGTCACGTTCAAGCGCGACTCGCCCTCGCGCAGGCGGCCTCCTCGCGTGAGCGGCGCCCTTTCACAGCGCGTCGTGTGAACAGGTTCGCCGCCCCCTTGGGCGACGGCAAGCCGCGCTTTCCAGGCATCATCGGCATCGGCGAGGAATACGGGCGGGAGCTGCAGCGAGCGCGTGCTGCCGCCCGAGCGGCCAGTGCAGCCGGTGGGAGCGGCGAGCACGGAGCAGGCGGAGCGGCCGTTGACAATTTGTGGCGCTAGGTTTGGTACATGAGAGGCAAAGGTGTACGTTCCTACGTCTGATGAGCATGAGGTTGCCGGCAGCTAGAGCTGCCGATCCCATGTTCCATCGCTATCGTCGCTTGTGTCACAGCTAGTGCCGGTCTGTGGTGAGCGCGTGTGAGGTGTGTGAGCACAGCATCTCGGCGGTGTGCCGCCGACCAATAATTAAGTCTTTCCATCGGCATCCGGTAAGACAAGCAAAAACAGCGAACGTAACAGCCTCACGCTCACCACGCGCCCGGCCCGGCTGCAGGGAACACCTTTGGCGCCACGCCCAGTACGAGCTGGTTGCAGGGCCCGCCCTGCGCACCGCTCCAGTGCTGCGCTCCGCGGGGCGCTCCGCCGCTGGGGCCGCGCGCCGCCAGCGGGTGGGCGGCCGAGTTGTCCTGGTACAGCACATCCCCCTTGGAGAAGGTGGTGACCTCTCCATCGGACGTTCTGATGTACCACGAGCCGTCCAGCGTCACCACAAACTGGGGCGACGGGCAGTGGTGCCACGGGTTCTCACCCACCTGCTGGGTGATGACGAGGCCGGTGAGCAAAAAGTCGTCGGTGCTGGAGAAGGCACGCACGTACTGCATCGCCGCGTCTCCTCCTGTCGAGGTGAAGTCCATCGTCTCCAGCCCTCCGAATCGGCGCTCGGCGAGGTGCGTGACGCCGTCGTCGCTCACCCACAGCTGACGGTAGCGGATGACGCCCGGCGGCGGCGGCGGTGCGTCGTTGACGGCCATGACCGCCCCTGCCGTAAAAAAAAATCGTGTAGGTAGCAAGAGGGGCAACCCCCCAACCCTCGCATCTCCACACCCGGACACGGGCAGGAGCCAGGAGCCCCACGCACGGCGTTCAAGTGGTCTGGCGGTGGTGGTCAATAATCGGTGGTGGTGGTGGTGGTGTTCGCGGTGGGTGGTGGTGGTGGTGGTGATGATGTGTAAATAAATAAATAGAGCATACAACCCCTGGTGGGATTAGGGCAGCAACCCGACGGGCAGACCCCGCCCCGCTCGGAGGGCGTACACCACACAGCACACAGACTTATCTAGGCACTGCACGGCTCCTCGGGATTTCTGGGGAGGTGCGTGGTGATGATGGGTTTTAGTTAAAGCCGAATCTTTCTTCAATTCAACCGCCAAACGGCGTGCTTTCGCGCCACGACAGGCGCCGTTTCCAGCCTTCCTCGCTGCACATGGCTGATCTACTCTCCTCGATCTTCTCTCCGAGCGGCTACTCCCCGGCTCCGCGATTGCCGGCCGCCCTCCGCCGCCTCGACGCTGCCCAGATCACGCCGCTCGACGCCGCCGCCGCCCGCCGTCAGCAGCTCCGCCTCGCGTGGGACGGCTGGCTCCGGCGCACCGTCGAGGACGCCCACCGCTCTCACGGTGCACAAGGCGCGGTCGAGAGCCCCTCAGGTGAATGAGACACCGTCGCATGTGTTTACTGTGTACGCCGCGAGAGCGTCATCGCACCGCCGCCGCCTCATTGTCGCCGTCGTCGTCGTCTGACCGCACTTGCACCACGCACACGTCTCCCCCGTGCACGCTCTCCACCCCTTGCGCTGCACTGCCGCCTCCAATCCTGCGCACCGCTCTCTCGGTGCTGCGGTGGAGCTGGAGGAGCCGGCCCGCCGCATCCGTGGCCTGGCGAACAAAGGCGATGTAGGTCGCCAGCCACAGAGTCTCCTCGGTGGGCAGACCCCGCCATCGCGGCGCGGCAAAACTGCGCCAGCTGTTGCGCGAGCGCCACCGAGGCGCGCTCGACCCCGGCCGCAGCGCTCGCCTGCTCCTCGGCCCACGTCGGCGCCTCCTCCGTGTTGCCTCGCCGCGACGGCCGTCCCGGCGGCGCCTCTCGGAAGACAGGCCACCCGCAGTTCAAACGGGACGTGGCCTCCCGCCCCGACCCCTGGCCGGTGCTCCACAGTTGCGCAGCAGCTTCGCGACGGCGGCGGTGAGATCGGTCAGCGGGCCGGCGAGCAGCTCGGAGAAGTGGGTGCGCGAGGCCCCGGCGAAGCCATTGACGGGGTGACGGGTGTACTCGTCGAGCGTCATGACGGAGTAGACGAAGCGCCGCATATGGGTTCCAACGTCGCGAAAGGTCGCCCAGTCCCCGCCGCCGCCGAGCTCCCACTCCTCCCACTCCGCCGCCGACACCGCGGGGGGGGGGGGGGGGCGCATTGGCTACGGGGGGGTGAGGGGGTCATTGGCTACGTCTCGGCTGAAGGCTGGATTATCTGGGCTGACACCTCGTACGCAGGCCGCGAGCTGATGATCTTCTGCTGGTACGTGGCGTGGATGTCGCACTCAAAACAAAGAGAGAGAGATTTTTATTAATTGTTTTTTGTGTTACTGCTAGCCGGAAATTCTTTTCCTCAAGGAGTATACCGGGACGCATTCTGGGAGGTGTTCCCTGAGGGAGGGTGTAGAGGATGTAGAGTGTAGAGCGCTGTAGAGCTGTAGAGATGTAGAGCGCTCTGGAGCGCTGTAGAGCTGTAGAGCTCTACATCCGCCGCGGGACGAAGCGCCTGCGTTGTAGGGCGATGTAGAGGCGCTCTACAACGTGAAATCTCTACAACAAACTCTACATCGTAAGCGGCGAACGAGGCACGGGTCGCTCTCCGACATTAGGCGCGTTGCACTTGCCAGTGCTGCCCTGGCCTTCTGTCTGCCCGCCCAATGGGTGGCAGGTGCCGCTGCTGCTGTGGCACCCACAGCTGACGGTAGCGGATGACGCCCGGCGGCGGCGGCGGTGCGTCGTTGACGGCCATGACCGCCCCTGCCGTAAAAAAAAATCGTGTAGGTAGCAAGAGGGGCAACCCCCCAACCCTCGCATCTCCACACCCGGACACGGGCAGGAGCCAGGAGCCCCACGCACGGCGTTCAAGTGGTCTGGCGGTGGTGGTCAATAATCGGTGGTGGTGGTGGTGGTGTTCGCGGTGGGTGGTGGTGGTGGTGGTGATGATGTGTAAATAAATAAATAGAGCATACAACCCCTGGTGGGATTAGGGCAGCAACCCGACGGGCAGACCCCGCCCCGCTCGGAGGGCGTACACCACACAGCACACAGACTTATCTAGGCACTGCACGGCTCCTCGGGATTTCTGGGGAGGTGCGTGGTGATGATGGGTTTTAGTTAAAGCCGAATCTTTCTTCAATTCAACCGCCAAACGGCGTGCTTTCGCGCCACGACAGGCGCCGTTTCCAGCCTTCCTCGCTGCACATGGCTGATCTACTCTCCTCGATCTTCTCTCCGAGCGGCTACTCCCCGGCTCCGCGATTGCCGGCCGCCCTCCGCCGCCTCGACGCTGCCCAGATCACGCCGCTCGACGCCGCCGCCGCCCGCCGTCAGCAGCTCCGCCTCGCGTGGGACGGCTGGCTCCGGCGCACCGTCGAGGACGCCCGGCGGCAGCTCGTCTGGCGGCGGCTCTCGTCGCGGGCGCAGGCGCAGCGCTCGCGGCGCCGCCTCGCCCGCCTGCTGGCGCGCTGGCGGGATGTGAGCGGCCTCGCGCGTCGAGAGTCGCGGCGCGACACGCTCCTCTCCGCCGTCCGCGACGCCGACGCCGCGTGGGACGAGCGGATGGCGCAGGCAAAAGCCGCTCGCACCGCCAGCGCGCAGGCCGCCGCCGCCGCCGCCGCCTCGGCAGCCGCATCGCCCGGCATCGCGGGCCGCGCGAGCCGCGTCGCGAGCTGCGCACGTGCAGCTGGGCCCGCCGAGGCGATGGCGGCGGCGTGCTGTGTGGCGACTCCGACGGGTCCAAGTCGGACTGCCGCCCCAGCGCTGCCTTCGCCGCTGCTCGGCGGCGGCTGCGGCGCCTCGCCCACCGCCACGGCGGAGGCGCTGCGGCGGGAGCTCGAGGGCGAGAGGCGCAAGCTGCTCGCCGCCCTTGACGAGCAGCGCCGCTCCGTCCGCTCGGCGTCGTCCGCCGCCGAGGCGCACGCCGCGGCCCTCGCGCAGGCGCAGAGGCAGGCGGCCGCCGCCCTCGCCGCGGCTCGCGCCGAGACGGAGGCGGAGGCTGCACGGACGGCTGCGGCAGCGGCGAGGGCGGCAGAGGCAGAGGCGGCGGCCGCAACGGCCAGGGCAGACGCCCTCGAAGCTGCGGCGGAGGCGGCGGCCGAGGGGTCGCGAGCCTTCTCGGAGGCCTCTCGGGACCCCGCTTGGAGCCTCCCCATAGGCGGCGGCCGAGGTGACGGCCGCGAGCCGAAGCATCCGCGACGCGGACGGCGACGCGGCGGCGGCGGCTCGCGCTGCCGAGGCTGCGCACACGGCGGGCTGCCTGGCGGCAGAGTCGGAGCGGCAGAGGCGGCTGGAGGCGGAGGCGTCGGCGGCCGCGCTCGGCGTGGAGCGCGACGCGGCGATCCGAGCCGCCGCTGACGCGAGGGGCGAGGCGGCGGCGGCAGCGCAGCGTGCCCACCGGGCAGCGGCGATGGCGGAGGCGGCGGCGGCGGCGGTGCAGGCGGAGAGGGCGGAGCGGGGCGTGGCGGTGGCGACCCTCGCGGGTGCGGTGGCGGAGGCGGAGGCGGAGGCGGAGGCGCTCGCCGCGGCGGCTGCCGCACGCGCCCGTCGGGAGCGGAGGGAGAGCGAGGCGGCAGGCGCTGCGGTGCGCGGTGTCGAGTTGAACGCGCTGCGAGCCGCGCTGTGCGATGCCGAGGCGTGTGCTGCGGCCGCGGGCGACGCGGCGCAGCGCGAGCGGCGCAGGGCGGAGGGGGAGGCGCGGGCGGCGGCGGCGACGCGTCGGGCGGCCGCCGAGTCCGCCGCGGAGGCGGGCGAGGAGGCTGCTGCGGCGGCGCTGCAACACCAGGAGGCGGTCGAGGCGTTGAGTTTGCGGATGGGGCGCGCCGAAGCCGCAGCCGCCGACGCGACGTCCCGTGCGGAGGCTGCCGAGGGCCGGCTCGCGGCGGCGGCGCGGCGCGGCGAGGACGCGGCGGCGGCGGCGGAGGTTGCGGCGAGCGAGGCGGCGGCGTCGTCCGACGCGCGCGCGGCCGCCGTCGCGGCGACGGCTGCCGCAGAGTCTGCGGCGGCCGTCGCCGAGGCGGCCGAGGGGGAGGCGAATGCGCGCGCCGCGGCGATGGAGAGGCGGGCCGAGCAGGCGGAGGCCATCCCTGCCCTCTACGCCCTCGCTCCCCTCTCCCGAATCACCTCCCTCCCCTCTCGCTTGCCTCTTCTCGCCTCCTCGCCCTCTGCCTCTCGGCCGCTGCCCCTCCCCTGCCCGTTGCCTCTTCGTTCGCTCTCCGGCTCTGACATACCGCCTCCACTGCTCACCGCACTCCTCGCCATCGGCGTGCAGGCCGGGCGCGCCGCGGCGACTGCCGACGCGGCTGCGCGCCGCGCGGAGGCGGCGGTTGCCGCTGCAGAGGAAGAGGGGCGGAGGCTGGCTGCCGAGGCGGCTCTGCTGGGGGACGAGTTTTGGGCGGCGGAGGAGGCGGCGCGGCGGGAGGCGCGGGAGGCGCGGGAGGAGGCGCAGGAGGGTGCGCGGCGGTCGGCTGCGGCGGAGGCGGCGGCGGAGGCGTTTGGGAGGGAGGCGGCGGTGCGGGCGAGGGGGGAGGTTGAGGCGGCAGAGGCGGCGCGGCGGGAGGCGGAGGTGGCGCTCGAGTCGGCCGGCACCTGCCTGGCGGACACGGCGCAGAGGCTGCACGAGGCGGAGGCCCAGCGGGACGCGCTCGCCCTCGCGCATGCGGGAGCCGAGGCGGCGGCAGCCGCCCTCGGCGCCGCGCTGAGAGAGGCCGAGGCAGCCGCTGCCGACGCCGCCGCCGACGCCGCCGACGCCGCGGACGGCGCAGCGTCTGAGGCGGAGGAGGGGCGGGCGAGACTCGCGGAGGAGAGAGCCGAGGTGCGCCCCTCGCCGAGATGCGGCCGAGGTGTGGCCGAGATGTGGCCGAGGTGTGGCCGAGGTGTGGCCGAGGTTTGGCCGAGGTTTGGCCGAGATGCGGCCGAGGTGGGGCCGAGGTGGGGCCGAGGTGTGGCCCCGACTAACCCTTCCCCCCCCCCACTCCCCCCCTCCCGCGGCCGCAGGCAGAGGCGGCGGCCGCAGCCCTCGAGACGGCGCACCGGCTGCTGGAGCTCGAGGCGGATCGAGGACCACTAGTCACCCACGAAGTATGGCCACCGCGTAGGCGCACCGGCGGCTGGGCGAGCTGGAGGAGGCGGCGGCGGAGCAGTCGTGGAGGCACAGGCGCGCGCTTGAGGCGGCGGCGCGACTCGCGGCGGCGCAGCGGGAGCGCGGAGCCGCTCGCACCATCGTCACCGCCTTGCTCCGCCGGCAGCTTCGCCAGTCGAGGCGCGCGCTCCAGGATGCTACCGACCTTTGCACCCCCAGACGTGTACTAGAGACGACACGCACGGCGGGGATGGGCCGCCGCATCCACGGCCGAGGCGCGGTGTTTGCAGCATTCGCAGACTCAGGCGGTGCTCGGAAGACACCGCACGACGCCGCCCTCCCAGCCCCCACCTCCCCCTGCTCGCAACCGCAGGCGTGCAGAGGCGGGGGCGCGGGCGCGGGCGGAGGCGAGCGCAGCAGACGCAGCGCGGCGCGTGGCTGCGGCGGCGGCGGCGGCGGCGGCGTCGCGGGGGGCGGCCGAGCGCGCGCGGCGCGAGGCGGCGGCCGAGGCGGCCGAGGCGGTCGTCGCTGCTGCGGCGGAGCGGGAGGTTGCCCAGGCGGCGGCGGAGAGGCGGCTGCTCATCGAGACGCAGAGGGCCGCCGCCGCTGAGGAGGCGGAGGAGGAGGCGCGGGCGGCGCTGGCGAGCGAGCGCGTCGCGTCGCACGCTGCGACGGCCGAGGCGGCGGCGCGCGTGGGTGAGCCGCAAGCGGCGCTCTCGCCGGGGAACGCGTTCGTGGACCCTTCTCGGATTTTTCCCGGACTCTGCCCGTCAGGCGAGCTGAAGCGGCGGCTCGAGCGGAGTGAGGCGCTGCGGGGGGAGGGCGAGGCGGCGGCGGCGGCGGCGGCGTGCGCGGCGGCCGAGGCGCTGGCGCGGAGCGCGGCGGAGGAGACTGCGGTGCTGGGGGCGTTGCACGAGTCGGACGAGGCGGCGGCGGCGGCGGAGCGGGCGCGGGCAGACGCAGAGCGCGCTGCGGCTTGCGCAGAGGCGGCGGCCGAGGCGTCTCGGCGCAAGGCGGTGGCGAGGGGCGAGGAGGCGGGTGCGGCGGCGGGCGAGGCGGCCGAGGCGAGGGCGGCGGCCGAGGCGGCGGTCGCGCAGGCGGCGGCCGAGGCGGCGCTCGCCCTCCGCATGTCTGAGGCGGCGGACGCGGCCGAGGCGCGGCTGGCGGCGGAGAAGGCTGTCAGCGGGCAGATGCTGCTCGAGGAGAGGGAGGAGACGCGCCGCCGCCTCACTGCCGTGCTGGCTGCGCGCAGCCAGCGGTGGACGGTGCGGCGGGCGGTGCGCCGGTGGTCGGCGCTGCAGCAGGCGACCCCCCACCACACTCTCTGCCGTCGCTCTCTCGCTCGCGGCTTCGACGCGCTGGAGGCGGCGCGGCGGCACGCCACCGCGAGATCCGCTCGGTCGGCGGCCGCGCACTCGCTCGCCCTTCGCCTCGGCACGAGGCGAGCCGCGGCCGCGATTGCCACGTGGCGCCGGAGCGGACGCAGGAGCGAGCGCCTCATCTCGCTCTCGTCTGCCGCGGCGATGGCGGCGGCCACGAGGCGAGCCGCGGCCGCGATTGCCACGTGGCGCCGGAGCGGACGCAGGAGCGAGCGCCTCATTTCGCTCTCGTCTGCCGCGGCGATGGCGGCGGCCACGAGGCGAGCCGCGGCCGCGATTGCCACGTGGCGCCGGAGCGGACGCAGGAGCGAGCGCCTCATCTCGCTCTCGTCTGCCGCGGCGATGGCGGCGGCACGGCAGTCCTGCGGCTGCGCGCTGCGCCGCTGGCAAGGCGCGTCTCGGGCGGCGCTAGCCCTCTCCGCCGCCGCCGCGTCCCACCCGCTTGCCGGCCAGACCCCGCGCTGGGCACCGGCTGGCCGCTGCAGGCAGGCGGTGGAGGCGTGGGCGGCGTTTGCTGCGCGTCGGCGGTCGCGCTCTCGCCTGGAGCGCGTCGCTGCGCACTCGACTCTCGCTCGCCGCCTGGCGCGCAGCCTCGCCGAGTGGCGCCTCGCCGCCGCACGAGAGGGGTCCCGCACCCGCTCCGCGGCGACGGCGCACTCTGAGATCAGTCGGCTGGCGCCGCGGCGCGCGCTCCGCGCTCTGTGCGCACACGCGGCTCGCCGAGCAGTTTGCCAGTGGGCTACTCAGCTGGCGGCGGGATCAGCACTCGCCGCCGCGTACGCCGCATTGCGCGTGGAGGCGCGTCGGCGCGCCGACATGAGGCGCGCGCTCGCCGCATCCGCCGCCGCGGTGCGATCGCGCGCCGCGGCGTCGGCTTTTCGCCTCTGGCGGATGCAAGCGTTCTCTGACAGAGAGTCTGGCAAGGCCGCCGCCCTCACCCGGCGCAAGAGCGGAGAGAGGGCGGTCGTCGCCGCCTTTGGCCGCTGGGCGCTCGACGCGCGTTCCGGCGCGTTCGCCAGCCGAACAGCGCGGTCGCGGGTGTTGCCGCGCGCGGCGGTGCGGGCGTGGCGGCGGCGGTGTGTGCAGCGCACGGCGGCGAGGCTGGCCGAGAAGCGGCAGAGGGAGGCGGCCGGCTCGCACGGGCTGCGCTGCGCTCTCCGGCTGTGGGCGGCGGCCGCTGCTTCCCGCCTCGAGATGCGGCGGCGCGCCCGCCCCCTCTCTGACCCGCGCAGGGCGCTGCTGCTCGCTTGGAGGAGCGCCGCCGCCAGCCGCCGCACGCACAGCCTCCGCTGCTGCGCTCTCGCCCACGCCGCTGCAGTGACTGTGCAGAGGAGGCGGCGGCGGGGCGTGCTGCGCGTGCTGCGCGCCGCCGCCGCATCGAGCGCCGCCGCCGCCTCCGTGCGCGCGCGCGCGGGTCGGCGGGCGAGCGCCGCCGCCTTCGCCTCGTGGACGCTCTTTCTCGGCCGAGCGCAGCGGGGAGAGCAGCTCGCCTCCCGAGCGGCTGCGGCGGCGGCTGCGGCGGCGGCACGGCGGCACTGGCGTCGCTGGCGCGCGGCGCCGCCCTCAGATCGCGCGCTCTGCCGGAAGGCGCGGCTGCGGGACGCGGCACGCCGAGCGCGAGATTCGGCCGAGAGATTGAGCCGCGAGTCGGGCGGGTGGTGTAGGCGTCGGCCGCCGCGTCGCGCGCGTCTCTCCTTTGCGGACTCCGCCACTGGGCTGCCCTCTCGGCGTCGGCTGCGGAGCACCGCGCCACCGCCGCGGCGTGTGTGCGGTGGGCGGGGCAGCGAAGGGCGCTGCGACGCGAGCAGGCGGCCGTGGGGAGGTGGCGGATCGCCGCGGGCCACAGGGCGAAGGCGCGGGTGGCGGTGGTGATCGCCGACAATCACGCGGCCGCTCGGGCGCCGCGCTCCTCGCTGCGTCGCTGCCTGGCTTATTGGCGACGCTCGGCGCGGGATGAGCCGAGATGGGCCGAGATGGGCCGAGAGGGGCCGAGAGGGGCCGAGAGGGGCCGAGAGGGGCCGAGAGGGGCCGAGAGGAGCCAAGAGCAGCCGAGAGCAGCCGAGAGGAGTGCTGGGGACGTTTCACGCTGCCCCGTGACTCGTGAGTATCAACTCCAACTCGTGCAGGCGCGACTCGGCTCCGTGGCTTCGCTGGCGGAGCCGGGCGCGGAGGGGCGTGCGGCGCGGCTCAACCACTACTTCCGCGCGCTGCAGGCGGGCCGTCCCCACACCAGACCAAGCCCCCCCCCCCCCCCC